TGGAGTAACCCCAATAATCTCAACCCATGGCCAGCCGTACCTGTTGGTCTTGTAGGTCGAGTCAATGAGGATGACGTACGGCCATGCATGCAACATCTGAATGGACGTCGGGTGCGCAAAAAACATATTAGTGAGCACATTATTAGAGTCCTTTTGCAAACAGATATGGTACCCACGATGTTCAGCTCCGTGAAGCGCAAACTGTATCGCATCCATTTCACCCATCTCATCCAATCTTGTCTTGGAATTTATGTTGTACATCTGTTTGATATCATGATGCACACCCCCTTCAGTATTGAGTGTCGTCTTCTGCTGATTTGGTCTCACCCCCGCCTTCCTCATTAATCTTAACCTCTCTTTTTCAGCCTCACTAAACTGTTTGTTGTGTCGGTGATGTTCTGGATACAACACCTTTTCATGGTTGTGAAACCCTCTATTAGCTCCGGTTTCACGACTTGTCACTCCCACCATGACCCATGTGTTTGGACCATCCTTTTGCCATACTTCCTTTATACATATATGAAACTGGCAACCAGTACCCTTCGAACTAATATTCTCACGCGTCTCCTTCGTAGGGTCTGGTTTATAAGACTTAACGATCCTACTACTTCTGTCGCAATACATACAGAGGGCAGTAACAGGATTCTGTCCAGCAGTATTCGGTTTCCATGATCCTCTAACAATAAAGAACCCACACTGCTGAGCGATTGTTCTTGCAGCTAACTCAGCTAACTCCACACTTGCATAATGGATCCCATTCTCAAATTCATGTGTGTAATCATGATCGGCCGGTAACAACTCTGACATTTTTCCTACAATTACAATATAATATATCAATATTCCTGTGAACCTAAACGCTAATTTCAATTCTTAACCGCTAAATTCAACTCCTAAACTCTAAATTCAATTCTTACACGCTAAATTCAACTCCTAAACTCTAAATTCAACTCCTAAACTCTAAATTCAACTCCTAAAATCGAATTTTTCCGAAAAATTGCAAAAACAGACTGTGAGCCGAAAATTTCCGGTGGCCGGAACCTGGCCGGGCCGAAAATTTCCGGCGGCCGGAACCTGGCCGAGCCGAAAATTTCCGGTGGCTGGAACCTGGCCGGGCCGAAAATATCTTGCGGCTCAGCCTGGTTCCGGCCGCCGGAATTTTTCGGCTCGGCCAGGTTCCGGCCACCGGAAATTTTCGGCCCGTCCAGGTTCCGGCCGCCGGAAATTTTCGGCCCACCGTCTGTTCGTTTCAAATCGTCGGAAAAATTGTTCGAAACTACAAAAAAATTACGCACCTGCTTAGTGATGATTCATTGATGCGTGTACGCAGTATATGTCGAGGATAGGCTTTCCCGATGATTTTCCGGCGACTTTTCCGGCGAGCGTTGAATTTTTCTGATTCAATATGTTCTCTGAAAGTTGGATATGTTGTAGATTGTGAAACTCCTTACCCTACTATGTATATATACTTATTTATTTATTTATTTTTTTTTTTTTTTGGTTGGCGGCAAATAGCAATTTGGTTGGCGGCAAATAGCAAGCCCCAAGATAATGTACTAAAAGTGGAGTTAGCTGAGCGTTCCAAATGAGATAGTTGATAGGGGGTGAGCTTCACTATTAAACGAGGATTGGTCGGGAGAAATAAAACTGGAGGAAGAGTGGAAGAAACATAACCACGAAAGATAGAGGTACTTAGTGACTTGAAAAATGTAACAAAAGGAAATAAAAAGATAGAGCAGTAAGGAGAAGAGAAAGAAATATCATCAAGAAAAGAGAAATACTAATTTTAATTTACTGAAGTACCATGCAAAGCTGCAAACATAAGTTTGTATTATTGATTTATTGTCCGATAATACAAGCTTTACCGCTGTTGTTACAACATTGTGAAACTAGAAATTAAGAGCATAATTAGATACTTATCTGGTACACGATTTAACATAAACAGAAGATTTCAAGTTGATTTCTCTATTAGTTATTATGCCCCTGCAGTTGAAGCCTCAGAGGGACCAGATCATGTCAGTATCCTTGTTATCAGTAACTGTCAGTAATCCAATCATCTGTCCCCACGTGTCAGTTTTTTCTTTTTATTTAAATTAAAAACGGAGGGGCACTAAGGTAAAATTGCACCCCCTATTTAATGATGTCTCTGACGCGCTGACGCGACGCGAATCCCACTTCCCACCCCACACTGGTTGTCTGGTTCCCCCTTTCTCTCACTCTTTGTTTTATTTTATCATTAAAAGAAAAATATATTATTTCTTCTCTCTCACATCTACAACAAAAATGAATCTAACCATCCTAACTATCTCTAAACTAATTCCAGCTCAAATTGAATGATGATTTTTTCGTTAAATAATACATTGTTAAAGACACTAATTACAAGTATAAATATGATTATCACTTTCTACTATCATGGTAAAACATGGTAAAATATGTTAAAGAAAATTACAATTCTAACTACCATACAATACCACATCGTAAAACGTGGTAAAACATGGTAAAATATGTTGAAGAAAATTAAAAATCTAACTACCATACAATACCACATGGTATAACGTGGTAAAACATGCTACAGAGATTTACAAATCTAATTACCATACCATACCATATGGTATAACATGCTAAAATAAAATTACAAATCAAACTACCACCACATGGTATAACTTGGTAAACCACGCTACAGAAAATTATAAATCTAACTAGCATACAATACCACCATAGTAGAACATGGTAAATCAAAGGACCACAAATTAATTATATTACCATATAATACCACATGGTATGAGAAGGTAAAACCATGTAAATCTAATTACAACCCTCTATGACCATAGTAAAAACATGATATTCATAAAAATACATTTCGTTACCATACATTACCATATGGTATGGTCACATTACCATATGGTATGGACACATTACCATATGGTATAGTGTGGTAATCTCAATATATATATATATATATACAATTACGACTTTCTTCACTTTCTTCTCTCCCTTCATTGTCTTCTAACTCTTCTTTTTCGGAACTGGTGTCGATTACCACCCACTACCACCATGATAAAACTCGTGACTATAAAAATACACTTAGTTAGCACACATTACCATATGGTATAGTGTGGTAATATCAATATATATTCTCAAATAAGGGGAAACAGAAGGAGGAAGAGGGAAAAAAATTCGTCTTCTGTCTCCTCTCATTTACTCCTCCGCAATGATGAACACCAAATGCAAAAAGAAAGAAAAAGAGGAAGAAGATCAGAATTAATTCACAAACAAATACTAAAACACAAAAGATGCAAACTCAACTCACCTAGATCTGTCCCCTCTTTGGCAATATGGAGCATCATCGATTTTGAGGCCGAGAAAAGAAAAGAACAGAAGGAAGGAGCAGCTTGAGAGAAGAAGGATTTGGAGCGTCACCGAATTTGAAGTGAGAGGCTGCAATTTTGTTGGAGAAAAAAAAATGAAGAACAAGAGAAGAAAGGAGATTTAGATCTGGAAAAAGAAGTTTGGAAGAGAGAAAGGAAGAGAGAAAGAGAAAAGAGAGAGAAAGAGAGAAGTCTGCTTTTTCTCATTCCTCTATTAAAAGACAGACATATTAATGCTGGAAAAATTTAAAAAGAGAAAGAAATCAAATTTCAAAAATCGGACAAAAATACCCCTCCTCGTTCCGCATGCAGCCCAACAATATAATAATGTCATTCCTAGATCTACGGTCCGGATTTAATATTGATAGGTCAGTAACCAATGGTTACTGACTCTATCCTCTACCCACTTAGATGAAAGAGATTAATGTGGCCCATAAACTTGCTCAGTATCCTATTTATGCTCATGATTGTCATAGTTGGGTAGACACCTTTCCTTCTTGTATTTTTCGGATTAATAATTCCAAATATGTGCCCTTTGAAGTTGCTAAAAATAATAATAATGATTCTGCTTTAAGGTACTATTTGTTCAATAAAGAAATCCTACCATACATATAAGGAGATTCTTGCTCAGCACATACCCAATTAAAATTTTACTGGCCTCCCCGCAAAGCAAGGAAGCCCTTATGAGTCTTTTGGCATCTCAATTTTTCGTACATGCTACTATGGGTAACTCACACAACTGGACATATCAATTGGGCTTTCCGTTTCCTTTTCCACAGCCCACCAAATTATAACTTATAATTGCAAATCAACATAAATTAATACATCGTTAGTTTATTTTGGACATAAACTTATGATTTATTTGACCATTGTTATACGTGTTATACATATAGAATAAATAAACAGAAAAATAAAAATAATTTTATCAAGAGTTTCAAATGCATTTAACACTTATACACATGTATTATATGGAGATTAAATATTTATATATAAAAAAATGAAGTTCCATATGGTTTTCGATTTAACAATTCAAGAATATGATCATTTTTCATTCGGTGATAAACTTATATGTTTAGCTCGAGTGTAAAAGAATTTGGTCTAAAATTTAATTTCTAATATCATTGCTTTCTTCTCAAAGAATGATAATTGTTTGACAAAAACAAAGATAACTGCCTGCGAATTTCGAAAACATTTATTAGCAAGTTTGAGCCTCTAGGGTTTTCAGATTGTAATAAATGAATAAATATTTTTACACTTAGTTATTAGACAAAAAACAATTATTGATTAAAATCACTTGGTTTTATTAAAGTTGGGCAAATGTCATATTTGGTCACTGAGATTACTAAATTGTTCCATGTTTAGTCACCAGAAAAATTTAATATCAATTTTGGTCACTCGAATTACTGAAACAAGTCACATTTGGTCACTCTCCTGTAGCCTCTGTCCAACTCCAGTCACTCGAATTATTGAAACATGTCACATTTAGTCACTCGAATTACTGAAACATGTCACATTTAGTCACTCTCCCGTTAGTTTCAGTCCAACTCCGACTAAACGTGACCAGTTTCAGTAATTCGAGTGACCAAAATTGATATTAAACTTTTCTATTGACTAAACATTACACGATTTAGTAATCTCAGTGACCAAATGTGGCATTTACCCTATTAAAGTTCTAAGTTTCAATTCCAGTAGAAGAGATGTATTGTGAAAATAAATCAATGAAGCAGAATTGTTGCTAATTTCAATAAATTCTTACTAAGGCTATTTTTTTTATAGAAGGCTATTAATACTATGCATCTTAAATTATTTATTTTTTATTATAACAAATGAGATCAAGCTCCTATAGTCGATTCGGGAATCATCCTCACTAAAGCTTATATTGCTCTTCTAAATGATGAATCTCAATTATTAGCATTTTTCATATTTAAGATCCAACTACCCAATCAACTACTAACATTTTTCACATTTATGATCCAACTCGAGTTGTGAATACTACCAAATATGAGTTTGTTGTCTTGGATCATCAAGAATTTAGGATTTCTGAGAATTACTGTTGAAAAATTATAAAAAAAAAGTGGAAGAATGAATCATCAAGTTGAATCACAAATTAACAATTCCATAAGCAAATTAACAATTTTGAACATAATTATTGATGAAAAAAATGAATCTCAAACAAAAGTTGAAACTATAATGAGACAAATTCTTTTGTTGTGAAGCACCTCTCAATGATGAATATAGATATATAGTGGAGTTGATGATGAAGATGTTGATGGTTAAGAGGTGATATCGATTATTTTGAAACACCTATATGCTTAATTCAACCAGAATTAACATAGATGGCTCTGATTACAATGTTGGTGATTCTTATGATGGATGCACATTTTCTCTTCTCGAAGAACTTAATAATTTGATTTTCTTATAGATAGCTTGCGATTTGATAATTATTTGTTAATTCGCATGACATTAACATATAATCCTGGCACGAATATAAGGGAAGTGGAGTTTATTGAAATTTAAACTTTAAAATTTTGTTAATTAATGTTATCATATTGCAACCGGTCATCGGGCCGGGTACAATCTAGTTGAATGTATAGAAACATATATTTTTATCTGGTGTGTCATACCAAATCAATCCTGATCGAGTAAGTCTAGTCCAATGGAACTAATCAACCCTTAAGTGTAACGTAATTGTTAACCAAAGTATCGGGTTGAGCCTCGACATGGGCAGAGTGACTGAGCCTGATGATGTTGGCGAGAAAAAGCCCAAAACAGATGGTCGTTTGGACGGAGCCTTAAGACTAGGTTGGGCTAAAGCAAAGCTCATTCACTAATGGGCCTCAGCTCGGCCCCATGTCCACGTTCAAGCAGCTATTAGCATCGACGAGAGCAAAAAGAAGAAGAAGAAGAAGAAGAAGAGGGAGAAAAAAGAAGAAGAAAAAAAAAAAAAAGACACCGTCATCGAACGGCAGACGGCATTTGGGAGCGACGATGCGTCGCCAGGGCATTCGGAAGAATCCTACGTACGGCGTTCCTCTTGCTTTCGCTTATGGCCGCAATCTCTCTCCCTGCCATTGTTAGCGAGCAGACACTCCGTCTCTCTACATCTTTTACTTTAAAGCCTCGTAACCAGGCTGTAAATCTCCGCTTTCCTGTTGTTGGCGGCCGTTTGCAATTTCCCACACCACCTTGTTTCCTGCCAACAATCTTTTCCTGGCTCCGGATTGTAGGGACGGGTTGCTGTTGCTTTTGCTTGTTGGTTCCTTCCTTTCTCCATCTTCGTAGCTATGGCTGCCTGGCATGTAAGGACGGCGGTACAAATGGGGAAAATTAGTGAAGTTCAAGTGTTTGTGTATTTGCCTCAGAGAACTAGATGCCCAGAAAGCAGTTGGACGGCGTGGTTGCAGAGCAGATATATGACTTCGAGCAAGCGAGTTCAAGACAGAAGCAGGATGAAAAGGGTACACGATCTGGAAATAGTGACGGAGAAGTGGAAAATTGCCTCCAAAGTGATGGCAGTCATGGAGTTGCTGAAGCAGGAGCCAGAGATGATCATCCCGGTCAGGAACCTTGAGCAGCATCGCCAGCGGCTTAATCTACCTAAGCCCAACAGAATTTCTGATTTTCTCCGCAAGTCCCCCAAGCTTTTTGAATTGTACAAGGATCAGCGAGGGTTGACGTGGTGTGGAATGACAAAACAAGCCGAGGATTTAGTGGCCGAACATGATAAGCTAATTGAAGAGCACTCGGTTAAAGCCGCAGAGTATGTCACTAGGTGTCTGATGATGTCTGGTGATAAGAGGCTGCCACTGGACAAAATTGCTACCTTCAGAAGAGATTTTGGTTTGCAGATTGATTTTAGGGCCGATTGGGTACACAGGTTTCCAGACCTTTTTCGAGTTAAGAAGTCTGCTGATGGGGTTGACTATTTGGAGCTCGTGTCGTGGAACCCAGCTTGGGCTATCACTGAATTAGAGAAGAAGGTGTTGGGATTAACTGAAGCAAATGATCACAAGCCTGGGGTGCTCTCATTGGCATTTCCTCTGAAATTTCCTACCGGTTTCAAGAAGGTGTACAGGATTGGAGGGAAGCTTGAGCACTTCCAGAAAATGCCCTATCTGTCACCGTACGCAGATGCTAAGGAGCTTACAGCTGGGTCTCGAGAATTTGACAAGAGGGCAGTGGCTATAATGCATGAGCTACTTAGCTTTACTGTTGAGAAGAGGCTGGTGACGGATTACCTTACTCACTTCCGTAGGGAATTTGTAATGCCACAAAAGCTGATGAGACTTCTGTTGAAGCATTTTGGAATTTTCTATGTGTCTGAGAGAGGTAAAAGGTTTAGTGTATTCTTGACTGAATCATATGATGGGCAAGAGCTGATTGAGAAGTGCCCATTGGTTCTTTGGAAAGAAAAACTCTTAAGCATTGTTGGTTACAGAGGAAAGAAGAGGAAGGTCCGTACTTTCAGCGACTCATCAGACATGGAGACTGCTGATACAAAGGAAATTGACTCTGAAAATGAAAACAAGGTCATCCAATTTGACGAAGAAGAGATATTGGATGGTCCGGAGCACACTTTGCTTGCACAAGATCAAGTGATGGAAAGTGGGGAGGTTTCCAGTGCATACATGGATTCTGATGCTTCTTAAACCTATTGACACTGAGGTGTTGGGAGCTGTGGATTTCATTTAGCTAGATGGTGCTTGTTAACAGGTATTGCTCACCAATGACTGACCTTCATTCTGTTTTTCATCAAGTTGATGCGGAACCTATAGATCATTTGCTTCTTCACTGTGAATTTTCATAGCAGTTGGGGCGCAGAGCTCCTTATCCATGGACTATTCCCAGGAAATGTCCTTGGTATGGATCTCCAATTTTCTTTTGACTAATAGAGGGGCACTAATCTAATAAAGCAGGGCTCTTGTGGTATGTTTCAGTATTCCTGGTCAGTGGTCAGAATGAAACATCAGAAGCTTCTTGATAAGCATTGTTGTGCCATGCTGATTAGTAAGGTCAGTTTCTCGGCTGTTTATCGGTGGATGCAAATTTCAGGTTGCGTCAGGAGGAATCTTGTAGATGGCTCCATAATTTGCTTTCTGCTCGGAGGCGACTGAGATTGTAACTTTTTTCCTTTGTATGATTGTGTATTAGGCTTTGTGACAATGTTTTAGGAGGAGCAGGGAAGTTGATACCTTTAAGCTCAATTTATGAACTCAATCGCGTTATCTGGTCCATATTCTGTTATAAGGATGCTAGATTGATGCCAATTCTTATGTTTCTATACATTTTTGCAAAAAGAACTTAAATTTAGTGTACTTTCTAACTTCTCAATTCCAATGCTCATTTTAATACAATTCTCCAACTGCAAGTTTAGGCTCATAAACGATGTTATTTACCCTCTCAAGCGCTTCGTAATAGAGGCAAAAGCATGTCCATGGACCTTGGTGATTGGTGACCTTTCTTACTTAAATATTACGCACTAGTACGACTTTAGCATGATCCAACACTATAGAAGGTCACACAGCTTGGACTGGTGTGAAACTGGCTACAAAAATTGGGATCCTTTATTCTCTTTTGTGGAATGGATCACTCCTGTATAATTCTTCTTATATCGCTTGGGGCAAAATTTAGGGCTGCAAATGAGCCGAGTTGTTCGCGAGCTGCTCGGCGTTCGACTCGAGAAAAGCTCGTTCGAAACTCAACTCGTTAATAAACGAGCCGAACACGAGCTCACCTTTGTTCAGCTCGTGAAGCTCGCGAGCTAGCTCGACTCGGTGGTTTGTTGAGCTAAACTCTTGAGCTGGCTCGTTTAGAGCTCATGATATGTCTTAACATCTGGCTAGAGAGCCAACTCGATTACCAACTTATGGACGAATCAATCTATATATTATGATTTTAATTCATATGGTTGTTAAATTATATATCTTACCATATATAAAGTTTAACACGTTGAGTATGTGAGCAAATATATCTTATTTTCTACTTTAAAATGAAATTATGCATCATAGATTGCTTCGATACTATGAAATAACATGATTTGGAGAGTTAAAATTTATTAACTAAATAATATATGATACCAACAAAGTATAATATGAGATTAGCTAACAAAATAAATCGTATGTATCATGATATACAAAATAAAGTACCAAATAAAAGTTAAGATTTTGATAAACAAGCTAGCTCGAGCTCGACTCGGCTCGGCTCGTTAATAAACGAACTGAGCTCGAACTCGACTCGTTTATTAACGAGCTGAGCTCAAGCTGGGTAAAACTCGACTCGACTCGGCTCATTTGCAGCCCTAGGCAAAACTTCCTACGTTCAAGTGGGTTGAAGACTCATCTGGCAGAGGAATATCCGATGGTTTGAAATATTGAGTTGGCCATTTACTCACTATATACCTAAAAACACGTTCAATGTGGATAAACGTGAACAGAAGTCAATACCAATTCATTAGTCAATCACTACCACCTTAAAAAACACAAATATCGTAACAGAAATAAATCAATGCCATTATGAAAAACAATATCATTACACTAAAATTATCATTATAAACAATCTACATCATTACAAGGGTCAAACCAATACCACTAGTTCACTACTACTGTGAAAGCAAATCAATAACATTTCATAAATGAATCAATACCATTAGAACGAACACGGTGGTGCCACGGAGAAGAAGGGATGAGTTGGGGCTGATTTAGGAGTGAAGGTGGGAGGTTGGTGCGTTGGGGGTGTTGGGTGAGAGCGGATCCCATGACTAAGGGGGGGTCCTTAGTCACTTGACTAAGCCCCTCCTAGCCATTAGATCTGGACACTTCAATCTAATGGTTAAAAAGTGGGAAGGGTTATTTAATTAATGACAGAGGTAGTTTGGGTATTATGGAAAATTACAAAGTATACAAACTGGATTTACAATCAGTACAAACCATACAAACATACGAACAGTACAAACTAGAGCGACAAAACATACAAACATTACAAACGTATGAACTGTACAAACAATACAAACTAGACCGACAAACAATACAAACCATACAAAAAGAAAAAACACCCGGGTTGACTTTGGAGGCTCCATCCCTATATAGAGGGGCTCCTTCCCAAAGTCAACTCGGGTGTTTTTTAGACATACAAACAGTACGAACATGGTGGACAAAAATGACAAACTATACCGACAATCCATACGAACTGAAAAAACACCCGGGTTGACTTTGGAGGCTCCATCCCTATATAGAGGGGCTCCTTCCCAAAGTCAACCCGGGTGTTTTTTAGACATACAAACAGTACGAACATGGTGGACAAAAATGACAAACTATACCGACAATCCATACGAACTGAAAAAACACCCGGGTTGACTTTGGAGGCTCCATCCCTATATAGAGGGGCTCCTTCCCAAAGTCAACCCGGGTGTTTTTTATACATAAAAAACATTACAAACATGGTTGACAAAAATGATAAACACGGTACACAAAAATAACATAGTTTACAAACATTACAAAAAAAAACCGACAAACATTACAAAATAACAAAGCGTACAAACATTACAAAAAAACCCGACAAACATTACAAAATAACAAAGCGTACAAACATTACAAAATAAATCGACAAACAATACAAAGCATACTAACCGTACAAAATCAATCTCTCTCTCTCTACTGGGAATAATGGCGCAGGGGGATGGGAATAATGCGGCGCCCATTCTTCAAATTTCCGGAGGCGGCGCGGGGAGGCTGCGCGCGGGGAGGAAGCAATTTTTTTTATTTCTTTTATAATTAAAAATTAAAAATAAACATGGAATTACTACATTACCCTTCATTAAATTGGACTAATAGGAGCTCTTGGATTTTAATGAGGTACAATGGCTGAGATTCACTTAGCCATGTGACTAAGGGGACCCCCCTTAGTCACCTGATCCTAGCCCGGTGTTGGGTGGGGTACGGTAGAGAGAGGGAGCCAGGAAGGGAAGAGGGACGACGACTATAGAGTAATCAAATGTTGTATCTTTTTTATTTCTAAAATTACTCTTAATCTAATCGTCATCGTCAATTTAAAAATAAAGTGAAATAGAGATAATAAATGGTACAAATTTTGGTAGCCACCGTGATTACTCCAAATTGAGTAACCTTTTTTTTGTCATAGATAGATTGTAATAGATAGAGTATTACAATGCGGTGGAAATGAAAAAGCGATAGTTAACCATATGGGTTGCTACCGATGCAAGGGCCGTTTGTGCCACGCGATTGGTAGCCCTGTTAGTACTACGAAAAGCAAACACAAAAGATACAAATGCAAAAGAGGTCTTGAGCAATGCACTTCTTCAAACACCGCGCCACCGTGATCATGATTGACATCATTCGTACTTGCAAACCAAGGTCCGGTAACCTGTGAAACAAATGAAACCAATGCTACTTCCCACAAATTCATAGGTTAGACTACAAAACTCAACAAAACACAATAATACCAATCTGCCTTACCGCCACTTGCTCCCCTAGCCATACAAATCAACGAAATAACCTAGCTAATGAACAGTGAGTTAAACACCAATACGTTATCTAAGATGTAAGAAAATAACATAAATATGCAAAGGCATAAAATTATGCAGTTTGAAGCTAAAAAAGAGGGGTCTTCTCGGTGAATAAATAATTCGATTAAATTTTTTTGATAAATAAGTAAAAACAATTGGGACTTTGGGAGGTGGGAAACGTGCCTGGCCACGAATAGCAGCGTGGGAAAGTAACTGCAAAGAAAAATGGAACCGCCGCCCAAAATTCTTGTTGCCGCCGAAAGGACTCGACGCCAGCCGGAACTACTCGCTGTAGGAATCCAGATCACAACTCTTTTGAAACCCCTGCAAAAAGGCAGAATCCACTGGAAAAGAATTAGATGGATGGAGGGAAAGGCATGGTCGCGACGCACGATGGCGTAGGCAGCAAACTGCTCGAGCACACGATGGCGAGAGAAAGAGCAATGCAGGTTCTCCTTCCAGAATCGATGATTTGTAGTTGGAAACCTCTTTTTGTTCTTTAAAAGAGAAAGCCGCTGTCGACAGATCAGGGTCTGCGCAGAAAGAGGTGACCAAAACCTCGATCCTTAACTCGGAATCCTTTCTTCTTGCCGCCGTCGATGCCGTCCGTCCTCGCCGTTGTGGGAGAGAACCAGAGGGCGGCTCTTCTTTTCCTCAGAGAAATCGGTATTGAGAGCGTGTTCGAAGGAAGATGGACGTAGCTAGCGATGCCCTCTCGCTCGCTAATGACTTCTTTCTGCAAGAGCGCGACTTCTCCTCGAACCCAGAAGAGTGATCAGGTTGGTCTTTGCTCGATCGGGTTGGATGTTTGTCGGGGATAAGGGTTTCCATTCCAGATTGAGTAACCTTGCTAACCTATTTTATCCCTTCCCGAGTTTCCTCAAGTAGTAATTATCTTTAAGCCAAAAAAATTTGCCTGGGTATAAAAATTTTCCCACCAAAAACTTGTTTTTTTTTTTTACTGATACCCACCAAACTTGTTACCTGGACGTTTGCAAGTTTTCCATTTCGTATATATCGACATAAAATTTATGTAAAATTCAAAGACCATATTATTTAAGAAGATAAATTTGAGCGTATTCGATCATAAAAAAGACCAGTAGGATATCTTGGTTGATCGTTAGTTAGTCAAATTATTTATTAATTTTTACACAGTATAACATAACCTGTTTGAATGATTTAGTTGATAAATGTTTACATAAAAGCCTACATTGAAACATGATAAATCACCCTTCCATAAAAATAATATATATATATATAGAAAAAATATATAAAAAACTAGACCATATTAAAAATTGAACCATCATGTATTGATATGAAAATAAATAATGATAATTTTCTACATATAGTAAGTCAATATTCAATATTTTTTATTAAGAATTTTGTTTCTGGACTATATACACTACAAGAAAAAACATTATTAACCACCGTGAAAACAGTGGGCAATAGTCCATTTACGGTGGTAAATACCTTTCCCCCGTAGGTTTTCTGTGGTTAACTTCGTCGTGGTTGAAAGTCAAAACGGTGGTGGTACTCATTAATAACCACGGTATTTAATACGGTGGGTAAAAACAATAGCCACCGTAATAATAACCGTGGTAAATAAATATTATCAACGACTGGGCTGAACCATGGTGAATACTGACTTTTACCCAGTGGGCTCATTCTCGTGGCCATTAGGTTCGTAATTGTCGACGGTAGTTTACGGTGGTGAAAGAGTACAAACAGTGGTGAAAAGTTCCTGCAGATATGGAATCACAACGTTGCCAAATGTTTGATTACTGTTCAATACAATCACTAAATATTGCAATTAATGCAATCTAAAGCTTATTTCAAAATTATATTGACCTGTGAAACACTAATCTAATAAGAAGAATTAATTCTTTTCATGAGCATAGTAACATACTAACATTGATTAGTGATATAAACGTTAGCATCGTAGTACTAGTTACATTGCACATTTAAGGTGTCATCCATAGAATTCTAATTCTAATAGTCCTAGCTACCATTAGTTATATATTATCATCCTACCACTCTCACTATTTCTAGTCTAAGGAAGTTCAAATTTAACAATGCTTGACTTGATTAACTCATTCTACTGTTAATCCTACCACTCTGACTATTTCAGTCTAAGGAAGTTCAAATTTAACATGCTTTGACTTGATTAACTCATTATACTGTTAATCTTCAAAATCCATTCTTCCATCAAGCTTCAAAATCCATTCTTCCGAGATTCAATATACCTTTGAAAGTTGGGCAAACAAACCTGCAAGTTGAGAGAAGATATCATACATTAAATCATTAATGCAAGAAAAATGAAATGCATGTTTTATAAGACTAGACAACAGTAGAAGACTCAACTGAACCTGTCATAGTCTAAAATTAAGAAATGGATGTTAATTGAAAATTTAAAAAATGAAATACATTAAATCATATATGCATTCTTTATATTGAAGACATAAATTAAGGAATGGATGTTAGTTGAAAAATTAGTCTATACTAGATTAAAGTTCGAAATCATACACTTGAAATGCAATATTCTTGGAAAATGTATTACAGAATATAACAAAATTTGGAAATCCTATGTATTTTAGTATTATTTTTAATTTCTAATACATCAATAAAGTCTCCCGGCCAATGGTCGGATGAAAAGCTAGTGTGATATAAATAACATTTTCTAATCAATAATATTGATTGTAGACAAGGATTGAAAAACTGTGTCGTATCAGTGGATCGATAAGAAAAACTTCCTATCAAAAGTGAAATTAGTAGATGGTATTCAGTCTATTTGAAATGGTTGAACCCTATGATTAAACCACAGTTTCAGCAAAAATGCTTTACTGTTAACTTTTCTGATACAATCTCCTATAATTGTAAGACATTTTCTTAGCGGCAAGTGAAACCGTATCTATCATCATTAACCAAATGAGTAATGGTTGAAAATATTAAAAGAAAAAAAAAGCTCAGAAGTGTTGTAAAATGCACCGTTAGTAGTGCAAAGAGGGTTAGGCAAAAAATGAAGATATGACAAAGTTGGAATTCAGGACGGTTAGTTTTTTCCACAGAGAGTAAAGACGAGTGCCGGGTTGACGGATGTGAAATCCCCTTGAAGACCACGGTAGCTGGAGGATGTGAAATCCCCTTGAAGACCATGGTGATTGTGAATTTGTGGAGATAGGATCCTTGTTGCTGAGAAATTTTGGGTGGGTAGAAATTTTCTATTTTCTATTTCGAGTCTTTAGTCTTTGGAAGAAGAATGTGTTGTGTAAATGAAGTTTGGAAAATTTAGATATGGAGAGTGGCACAGCGACGCAGGAAAGAGAATGCATTTGGGGTTTTAATTTTGGCACCTAATAATTATAGACACAAGGCGTAACTGGATTGGTGCGGTGCACCAGGGAGGACTGATGATGTGGTGCAGCGAATGACCGAACGTACACAAGTTTTTCTCTGGAGAGTGGTGGAGCAACATTGATGGTATCGAGGCTCTCAACTCTTAAAATCGTGTAAAATTATATGTAAATTTTACTTATTCTGTAATAAATTTGAGAAATATAGTAGTAAGAAAGGTTTAGTCTAAATATGGATGACTTAAGAGTCCCTTCAGCAGCCAGACAACATTTATGGAATCCGGATGGGATGGTATGCCAATGTGTGTCTACTACTAAGAGAGTTGCAGTGTTGACCAACTTGTGTGCAATAATTCTGCTGACATATGAAATCTCCATTTTTTCCCCTTCAATCCTGTCATCCATCTTTAATTTTGGGTTTAGTGAATAGTTTTCTGTGGGGTGGTTTGTAGGCGGCCTTTTGGTCTCTATTATCATTCAATAATGCCCACACAGTAAAGAGGATACCCCTCAGGCAGGTCATTTCAGTATGGTTAGCAGCGAGAGGAGTTAATGAGTTGAGCAGAATGTAGTCTAAATCGCGTTTCTATTTATAAACGTTTTGGTGATCTAGAAGCGTAAAATCGTAAATTTTTAAAGTTTTAAAGCAGGTACTTAACTACATCAGCTATAAAAAAAAAAACTGTGATTTTGCGTAGAAGCGTTTTGGTGACCTATAAAAACGTAAAAACTTAAATTTTTCAGCTTTAAAACAAGATTTTGACTACATTGCGGACCTAAAGCTTATCTCAACCAAATCAATCATGGTGAAATCTGTAAGGATATGTCAACATGGTTAGGGAGTTGAAGGCAACCAGAACGAACGTTAATGTGATGATGAGTTCACTTAAAAAGGATCGGATAGAACAGTGGTGATCTGTTATCCAGTCTTTTTTTCTTTCCATCCTTGGATTTGTGTACGATTGATCCTTATCAAACAACTGTTGAATAGGCAGTTCAGCTAGCCGCTATCAACAATTAAAGAGTCTCACAAGTAGGAGGAACCGTGAACAAGTGGGATATATCCTATAATCCTAATGTCAATTTTGACCTGACCTGTTTTACCCAAATTGTTTGGTCTAATTTGGGGTGGATCCGACCCGCTCCGTAGGCAGGGTGGGGCGGGCATGGGTACTCTTATCGACTCGACCTGTTCTAACCAGCCCCATTCGCGACCCGTTCTTGCCTAAATTACTTGTAATCTTAGTCAAATTACTTAGAATTTTCCTTTTATTACATCATATTTTAACTATAATAAAGTTGTAAATTAGTGAAAACCTCAATTTTTCCAATAATTTAACTACTCTTATCATAATATTGTTTGTTTTCTTGGTCTTATAATAAAAATAACGAATATTACTAATGTTTTTTTTATATAAATTGCATACTCATTGGGTCGACTTGCCCCGACCCGCAACCCATGATAAATTACCCGACCTGCCACGGGTGGGTCTGGGTACCAAAAAAACCCACCCCGGACCAGCCCAGTGCCATTCCTATGGTTGCTAGCCCTTTGTTCTCAATTCATATCTCCAGTTTTGATATTTCTTGTGAGACAAGGTGATGATACTGATAGCTAAAGCACAAAGCTGGAAGTATTAATTCAATTTTTCCAGCTGGGGATTGTGGAGGAAAAAGCCAATCTTAGTAGCACAGTCTGTTTACATACGCTATAACCCCTCAACTACTTCCTGTATTCCATTATATTGTTGTCCTTTTTTGCCATAGAAGAAGAAGAAGAAGGAAGACTTAAAACAAAATAGAGAGACTGAACCGTTTTGAAAGTTTGAATTCTGACCCAGTTTCTCATTCAATGAAGAATTTAAAGCAGCTTGATGGGTTTCCAACTACACCACCAAAAGCCAAAGTTGGTGCTCGCATTTACTTCTTGCCAACCACCTCCCTCTCTCCTTACTTGCATATAATCCTCTGTCCCCTAAGCACATCCTTTGAAGCTGCACAAACCAGTAAGTAAGTAAGTAAGTAAACAGTAACGTTGGAGAAGCTCCAGAATCATCATGGCTAGAGAGAGGGATCTGCTGTCCACAGAGATCGTCAACCGTGGGATCGAGTCTTCAGGTCCCAACGCAGGCTCCCTGACGTTCTCTGTTAGGGTTAGGAGGAGGCTGCCTGATTTTCTCCAGTCAGTGAACCTCAAGTATGTGAGGCTGGGTTACCATTACCTCATCAATCACGCCATCTACTTGGCCACCATTCCTGTTCTGGTGCTTGTGTTCAGTGCTGAGGTTGGAAGCCTCAGCAGGGAAGAGCTGTGGAGGAAGCTGTGGGAGGATGCTCGCTATGACCTCGCGACTGTGCTTGCTTTCTTTGGCGTTTTGGTCTTCACGCTCTCTGTCTACTTCATGTCTCGCCCCAGGTCCATTTATCTCGTCGATTTTGCCTGCTACAAGCCTCATGATGATCTCAAGGTAATGTCTGATAGAAATTTGATTGCAACGCTGGTTGCAGCAAATTATTCGATATTTGATTGTATCAGTTTGTTGAGAAGTCACACCTAGAGTTTAGGGTTCATCAACAATCACTAATGAATAGAAAAGAAACACACAATAACACTTTTGATCTTCAACGTATGGGATCAAAGGCGTGTTTTAAAAGATAGATTTTTAATTAATATTGTTTCTGCCCAAACATGGTTTGAAAATTCAATTCATTTTTATTTCTAAAGATTTGTATATTACATACCAAACTGATGAATTCATTTGAGAATGAATTCTACACGGTAATTCATTTTAAAATGAAACGAATTCTCGATTCATTTGGTACCAAAGTCGAAACGGTCTGTTATATAACGTTCTAAATCCTGTGTTTTTTTTTTATATATTATTATCTCATCTGACTGCTTGGCGTTCACTAGGTGACCAAGGATGAGTTCATAGACTTGGCTCGCAGGACGGGCAAGTTCGACGAGGCAAGCTTGGAATTCCAGAAGAGAATTCTGCATTCCTCAGGGATTGGGGACGAGACCTACATTCCCAAAGCTGTCATGGCTCAGGAGAACTGCGCGACGATGAAAGAGGGTCGCGCAGAAGCTTCAATGGTGATGTTTGGTGCACTCGACGAGCTGTTTGAGAAGACGAGGATCAGGCCCAAGGACGTTGGCGTCCTGGTGGTGAACTGCAGCATCTTCAACCCGACGCCGTCCCTCTCGGCCATGATCATCAACCACTACAAGATGAGGGGCAACATCCTGAGCTACAATCTGGGAGGAATGGGCTGCAGTGCCGGGATCATAGCCATGGACCTGGCTCGCGACATGCTCCAGGCCAACCCGAATAGCTACGCCGTGGTGGTTAGTACGGAGATGGTTGGATACAATTGGTACTCTGGCAAGGACCGGTCGATGCTCATCCCCAACTGCTTTTTCAGGATGGGTTGCTCTGCGATCCTCTTGTCGAATCGCAGGCGCGACTACACGCGTTCGAAGTACCGTCTCGAACACATAGTTCGAACCCACAAAGGTGCCGATGATCGCAGTTTCAGGTAAATTTTTTTATGTTCATTTGGTAACCAATTGATGATATAAACTTGCAATAAGTGCCATTGCTTACTTACCCACCACCCAAAGGGGAAAGGGAATTGTGATATGAGCTGGATGCTAACATTTACTCTAACCACGTGAGTACGTGACATTAAATATTGAATCATAATCTGTTTTTCTCCAACTGAATTGTGGAACTTGGATTATGGGTGGGGGTTGTCCAAAAGTACAGAGCAAACTGAAGTTCTGCTTTAGTCCCATGGTATAATAGTTGATGTTGAGCACAGTTTTCTAATGGGATTGGTGGAAATTGTTTCTGGGTTTTGCTGTCAAGGTGTATTTACCAAGAAGAGGATGAAGAGAAGCACAAGGGGCTGAAAGTGAGCAAAGATCTGGTTGAAATAGGAGGAGAAGCCTTGAAAGCCAACATCACCACTCTAGGTCCTCTGGTGCTGCCATTCTCAGAGCAGCTCCTCTTCTTTGCAACCCTTGTGTGGGGCTACTTGTTTGGTAATAACCAGAAGAAGCACAAAGGCAGTGGCAGTGGAGGAGGTCATCCATCGTTAGCAGCAGCGGCGTCTTCTTCGAAGCCATACATCCCGGACTACAAGCTGGCGTTCGAGCACTTCTGCGTCCACGCTGCGAGCAAGACGGTGCTGGATGAGCTGCAGAGGAACCTGGAGCTGAGCGACAAGAACGTCGAGGCGTCGAGGATGACGCTGCACAGGTTTGGGAACACGTCGAGCAGCAGCATATGGTACGAGCTGGCGTACCTGGAAGCGAAAGAGATGGTGAGGAGAGGGGACAGGGTGTGGCAGCTGTCGTTCGGGTCCGGTTTCAAGTGCAACAGCGTGGTGTGGAAGGCAATGAGGCGGGTGAAGAAACCTGCAAGGAATCCATGGCTTGATTGCCTTGACAGGTATCCTTTCCAAGCTTAGAAATAGCAAGCTGGTGAGGAGGGGGGGAAAATTGCATGTGACAATTACTGCATCAAAGCATATTCTTGAGAAGGGCACACTCACACACATGGGTTTGGATTCGGTTTTCTTTTCAAAGTAGACTTGTTATGAGCAATTAAAGCTTGCAGCTCTTTGTTTTTTTCTTCTTCTTCTTTTTCCGTTGTTGGTTTATGTACCTTGGGTTTGGATTTAAAACAGGCAGTGGAGGGTATTTAGCAAAAGGAGGAACCTGCCCTTCTGGATATATCTATGAAAAAATCCAATTTTAAAGTGATAGGGTGATCTTGCATTTTGGGAGGAACTGTAACTTTAATTGGGTGCTTCATTCAAGGTTAAAAAAAAAGTTAGGCATAAGGCGAGCGTTGAGACACTGTTTAGCGCCTAGCATGCTTAGGTGTTGCCTAGGCGTGCCTAACCGTTAGATGTTAAAGTAACAACATATCTCACACTTGTCTGGAATCACAAGTTTGTGAACCAATATTATCACATGTACCTCTCATTTCTAAATCTTCATCAACAACACTTGATAAAGTGTAAAATACAGCGTGGGGAAATGATAAAGGAAGAAACAACCCGATCCTTTTAAAAACCCAAATCCATAACTCGAACCAAAATTGGGTTCTCCGGAGCAACCCAAACCATGTTTAAAAGTCAAACAAAAAACAACAATGATAATGTTTAATAATCTCAGGTGAAATGCCCTAAACACTTGGGTGACTTCAATCCAAAAGCAACAAAACACAATCCTTGAGTTTCCCCGTATACTCATAAAGACATGAAATAGAGACAGATATGATAAAAAAGGTCTCATCTCGTTACCCCGATCCTTCTAACATCTTCAAATTTGTCGCGGCTGCTCTCCTCGAGTAACCTCCTCTTGATGGGTACATCCTCTTCCCCTCTCTACACTGAAGGGGTCAATCTCGTCGTTACTTTTTAAGGTCTTTGCCCTAAGAAAAACCTTATTAACACATTATTTGAAATTTTCTTCCTAGCACGAAAACCAATCTCGCTTTCTGGCCTTAAATAATCATTTCTTTCTAGCTTATTAAAGATCTCATCTCTACTTCTATGTTGAACTCATATAAGTTCTCTACTTCTATCTCCGACTCCTATACACGACTTTAGGAACCACCGCTACGTCTCGCCGTTCGGTGTCCCTACCTTGGCAATGGTACTGCGTTACGTATCGTCTTCCAGTAGCAACTCAAATCCTCGATCAACTGCTGCGTTGCGTATCGCCATCCAGTTGTGATCCGAACATTTACCGCGCCCAATAGTGGCCCAACCGCTCGGGGCTTCATCTTACCACTAACCATACATTACAAACATACATTCTCATACATAGCAAAACGCGTTCCTCCATCTTAAGTAGGCGGTGGGATGCCTCACACACATAATCGCGCATAACTAAAAATTTTACGAAACTACTATAAGTAAATGCATAAACTAAAGGACCTCGAGAGAGATTTTACCCCCTTGACACTCACCTTAAAAAGATAACACATTGATTTTTTACTCGACAAAGTTCCTCCTTAGCCGTATTATCTCGGGAAACCTATTAATAAGAAGTTCATTTTCTTATACGACCTTTCTCGATTTAAAACCCCTTTTTATCTACCAGAGCCCCCTCTCCTCAAAGTCCCACCCTCAAAACTCTTTTCAATGATCTCTTAACCCCCTTTAAAAATTTTCTAAAAATAATTCCTTCATAAACCGACCCTTTTCTAATTAATTCCGCCTTGGGCGAATTTTTCACCTAACTTGAACATTTTTAAGAATTCAGATAATAATTTTCCCATGTCTAGCATGAGAACATATATCCTGAAAAATTATCAGATCCTCGAAAACTACTCAACATTATTTTTATTTAATTAAAATCAACCTTTGAAAATTTTCTAAAAATAGTAATTCATCTTCAAAAATCCCCAAATTAAATCAAAGGTATCTCCAAGGCTTTCGTCAATTTATAAAATTGTTAAACCCAGAAAAACTACCTTCAGAGGCTTGAAACATTTTAAATATCTTAAAACACGTTTCTGGAAATTTCCCTATAAAGTCCGTAGCAAAAACCCAGAATTGCACCCTCATTAAAAATCACCAAATCGATCAATCTAAACTCAAGGGGTCGAGTTTCTTTACCTCTAGACGAATCTAGGACTAGATCTGATGGCTCGGAACGTTGATCTTCTAGTTGATCGATGTTCGACCGTCAAACGTTATCACAAACGCTATAATAATAATTACGAGTTTCGGATTAGACTATCAATAAATTTAGTTTGGGAATCGTAAAAAGATTCGTGATCCTTACCTACGAACATGAGAGGGATGGGGTCGAGATCGAGAAATAGGAAGGCAGCGGTGGGGGAAGGGAACCGACGCTCCCTTCTACTTTATTCTTTCTTCTTCTTCTTCCTCTTCTTCTTCTTTCTTGCATGGCTGCACGATGGGGATGGTTTTGTTTTGGGGAATTAAAGGGGATTAGACCATCCACAATGTGAGTGGGAGGGAAAAGTGGGAAAATAGGGAAAATGGGGAAAAAGGGATGTTTTGGTCACAATGTGGAGGGTGGGAAAAGTGGGTAATTGGTTCAACACTTTGTTGTTAAATTCAATCTACAGTTGATTTCCTCACTTTATTTTTATATAATGATCATTATTTTTACGTAGTTAGTGATAATTAATTAATACGAACATTTCGATATAATTTTTTTTAATTTGAACATAATTTTTTTCATCACTAATTAAATATAACGTCATTAATTTTGTCAGTTGCGGATAAAACCAATCAAAATACCTCACAATAAAAGAAAACCATTAAAATAAATAAATTAGAACAAAAAAATAATAAACAAATTATATGTGGGCCCGGCAGTGGGTCCCACCTCCCTCCCTTGCATCCATCATTTGTTTGCTAGTGGGTGGGTATGCCCACCCAATTTTTCCCCTTTCTCCATCTTTTCCACTTTTCCCACCCACATTGTGAGTTATTTTCCCACTTTCCCCCCTAAACCCACCTACATTGTGGAGAGTCTTATGGGGAATGTGGGGGTTTGGGAAGTTTAGGGCTGCTCGGCCTTTTCTTTCCGACTATATTGTTTTTCTTTAATTAATAATAATTATTATCATTATTTTGTAAACTTTTGTACGTAACCATCAATCCAGCCGTTTATTTATCATGATAGAACTTAAATCCATATTGAGGTGTTATATTTTCTCCACCCTTATAATAATTTCGTCCCCGAAATAGGAACTGTATGATAGGAACTGGAAAGATAACTACTTTAAATTAAACTTATGGTGTTTGACTAAAACTTCTCAAGTTAGGATATAACATTCCCCCCCCCCCCCCTTAAAAATTTCGACCTCGAAATATTGGTCAGAACTAATTTAATAGGTTTGGTGGGATTGTTATTGATTACCGAGTACTAAAACTAAAAGTACGTCTTTCAAAGGAAACAATCAATTAGTGATCTACGCTTAAAGCAAATACTTCCTCTTCATAGTCTCCCCATTTGCTCCACATGATCACATCAATGTGTTTGTTCATCCCCTCCATCGTCTCCACGGTCGCCATTTATCCCTACCATGGAAAATACCCTCGGTTGTCCCCCTACTGGAGGCCCCTGGTCTCCGCCCTGATCAGTGCGTTCGAACCGTCCGGTGCGTCCTCCATAGCTCTGGAATGAGCGGGTTGGCTGGCCGCCAGACTGAGGTCCCGTGTGAGTCCTCCTTCCTCCACCTTGGACAAACTACTTAGACCGTGCTCGCCCTTGCCCGCCTCTCCAGGGACATTCTCTGGAAAAATGACCTAGCTCGCTGCAGTAGTAGCATACCCTAAGGGGGCTACCTACACACCCCTGAGTGATCCCTCCCACATTGGTTGCAAGGCCCCCTATTGCTAAAGGTCTAGCCTGGTCAAATAGAATCGAGCCGGTCTGACTCTGATTACCCTCAAAGCTGACGGTAGCACTCGGCCTCCTACTGATTTGACTGGATTGGCTGGGCCACTCTGGCATGCTACTTGCCTTCCTCTTACTTCCCTCTCGTTGCATCCCTTCTTCATGCACAGTTGTGTCAGACCTCTTCATCCGAAGAGCCGCCTGGTAAATATCCTCCCGGTTGTTCCACATCAGCATGCTCAACTGCTTATTAAGGCCATCCTTCAGACTCTCTAGGTACTAGGTGCGCTGGGCCGCCACCTCTTGAAACTGAGGTCCTCCATAGGGCAGCAACTTCTTGAACCTGGAGGTGTACTCTACAACAATCTCCTTGCCCTCATTGCCCCATCTTTGCTTGATCAGCAAAAATCCCTCTTTTTGCCTAGTCTGTAGGCCTCTGGCACATAGTGATCCCGGAATACCAGCACCAGCTTTGGCCAAGTGATAGCTGGTGGGTCCTCCTGGCTAGCTAGCTGGCTGGGTGCACCGCCAATCATATGTTGAATCCTGAAACAAGGATACTGTCAGTAGCACCCTGTCCTCATCATCTACCCTCATTTCGGTCAACGTGCGCATGACATTCGTCAGCCATTTGTCCACTTCACTCGCATCTTACGAGCGGTCCCCATCAAAATCCACCACTCCTCGCCTCCGAAAAGCCACGCAATCTGGTGGTGACCTAGCTGTCGCGTGATTAACATGGGCGTTACTTGCTCTGCAAGCAAGTACGATCTTTATTAGACCCTCAACTATTCGTCTTTTCATGCTTGAGTATACTGGAGACTCTATAAGCTCAAGAAATCCTTTTGACTGGTTTGGTCAAACATTTACTTTAAATCCAAAGTTTTACTTTTAAAAAACCTTGACGGAGATTTTATCCACTTTACACTCATCTTGAAAAGATAACTCATTGATTCCTTACTCGAAGAAATCCTTACTTAGCCGAATTATCTCGTGAAACCTATTAATAAGAAATTCATTTTCTTAGATGATCTTTCTCGATTTAAAATCCCTTTTTATCTACCAGAACCCCCTCTCCTCAAAGTCCCACCCTCGAAACTCTTTTCAAGGATCTCTTAACCTCCTTTAAAAATTTTCTAGAAATAATCCCTTCGTAAACAGACCCCTTTTCTAATTAATTCTGCCTTGGGTGAATTTTTCACCTAACTTGAACCTTTTTAAGAATTCAGATAATAATTTTCCTAGGTCTATCATGAGAACATATATTCTAGAAAATTATTAAATCCTCAAAAACACCTCGGCATGATTTTTATTTAATTAAAATCAACATTCATTCAATTTCTAAAAATAGTAATTAATCTTCAAAAATCACCAAATTATATCAGAGGAATTTCCTAGGCTTCCATCAATGGGAGCAGATATGCTGAGTAACCATGCATAACCCAATAAGAATCTGTCACATCAGCGCCTCCTTCTCTCTCCTGGAAAAATCATTAATTTTCTTTCTCTTAATCTTTAACGGACGATTTCACACTCGTTTTAACTCGTAATTTAGTTTTTTTTTTTTGCACAGTTAGATCAGATTAATTGTGCTCTTCAAAATTATATCCACTTTGATATTTTTGGAACAAAAAAAATTTGCCAGTTATTATGGTATTGACTGGTATTAAATAACAACATACCATATGGTATGAAAAATACCACCTCATACTAGGGTGGTAGAGTATGGTATGGAGTTGGTAACGATTCAAAATGATATCCACTTTGACATTTTTTGGAACAAAAAAATTTTGCCAGTTATTACCAGTTACCATATGGTATTAACTGGTATTAAATAACAGCATACCATATGGTATGAAAAATACCACATCATACCAGGGTGGTATAGTATGGTATGGAGTTGGTAACGAGAGGTATGAAATTCCCCCCCCCCCCCCCCCCCCCCCCCCCCCCCCAGAAAATTTTGATCCAATAGATCATGATTAAATCGTTCCTTTTGTGCAAAAATTTCCGAAAATGATTAAAGAACGAAGGAGATACCATATGGTATGGATTTGGTAACGAGAAGGATGAAATTTTTTTCTCAAAAAATATTGAAAATGGATATCATTTTGTAGAGCACAACAAACTCGTTCCATCTGTGCAAAAAAAAAATTGGAATCCGAGTTAGAATGAAGAAGATATGATCCAATTAAGAAAACTAGCGAACATAAATTCCTTTAATTCTCCACCCTTAGATCTGCAGCCACTTAAAAGAAGGGTCCAGATTTGGTTACTCATTGTTACTCACCCTAAGGTTACTCACCCTATCTTGAGCCTCCATCAATTTATAAAATTGTTAAATTCAGAAAAATAATTGCAGAGGCTCAAAACAATTTAAACATCTTAAAACATGTTTCTAAAAATTTTCTGTAGATTTAGTGACTACCCAAAATTTGTCATTAAAAGCCTGTAAAGTCCGTCGCTAAAAATTCATAATTGCACCCTCACGAAAAATCACCAAATCGATGGATCTAACTCGAAAGGTCGAGTTCCCTTACCTCTAGACGAGCCTAGGACTAGATCGGATGGCTCGGGAAGTTGATCTCCTTGTTGATCGATGTTCGAACTCTCAAACGTCACGGCAAACACTATAGTAAAAAATACGAGTTTCATATTAGACTATCGATCAATTGTATTTGAAATCGTAAAAGGATTCGTGATCCTTACCTAGGAACACGAGAGGGATGAGATCGGAGTCGGTAAACAGGGAGGCGACGGCGGGGGAAGGGAACCAGCGCTCCCTTCAACTCTATTCTTTTTCTTCTTCTCCTTTCTCTGTACGATGGGCGGATGGGGAGGGTTTTGTTTTGGGTTAATTTGGCATGGGAAGGGTATTGGGGAATTAAAGGGGATTATGTGGAACGTGGGGGTTCGGGAAGTTTAGGGACGCCCAACCTTTTTTTTCGACTATAATGTTTTTTCTTTAATTAATGATAATAATAATAATTATTATTATTGTCACTGTTGCAATCCTTTGTACGTAATCGTCAATTCAATTATTTATTTATTATCGTCGAACCTAAATTCAAATATCGGAATTACACTTGATTTCATTAAACAAATCAAAAATACTTTATTACTCTTCTTACATTGTCCTACTTCGTGGACTCCTTTTTTTTTATCATCAATTCTTCACAATCACTACCACTGCCTCAAAGTAGAGGAAGAAATATAGTGGAAGAGATACCAGTCTCAGTTGGTCCTGCAACGGCAAAGCCTGCTGACCTCTATGAAAACCCCTAGCTAGTTCTTGACTCAAAGGGTGCGGGTGGGTCATTAGGTTATGTAGCTTTTTTAATGGGAGGTGTATTTCGAATATATATATATATAGAGAGAGAGAAAATGAATGAAACTTCTCAAAGATGTTAGATTTCGGTCAAACCATTAAATCTCAAGCCACTTGATCAATTGGTCCAATGAATTAAATTAGTTTGACAACCTTTGATCAAACCATAAAATCTCAAGCCACTTGATTAATTGGTTCAATGAATTAAACTAATTTGACAACCATTGAACCGTTGATGGATAGAGATGACAAAAATAACCACATCCGTGAAGTGAATATCTATCCTAATCTGACATAATCAGGTGTAGAAACCCGACCCCAAAATTTTTTGTGGGTATGAGTAAAACCAAGCTTGCACAATATTGCAACTGACAATCATTTCAAAACCATGTCGAGTCAGGGAAATCCTCCCCAGTAACACAGCAACCTGATAATCCGGGACTAAGCGGCTTTTTGCCCTCAGACAACGGTCCTTTTGGGGGCGGGTCTGTGAATTCTGCTATCCTGTAAATTCAATTCTATCCAATTACATCTGAGAAATAAAACATACCAAAAAACAGTATAAACAAAACAATAAAGATTTTTAGGGTACAAAACTAACAAAATGCAGAACAAGCTGCGAAAAGGGTCTTGTCTGGCCGATGCTAAATCATCCCGCTCCTGGTTGGCTAATGGCTACACAAGATGTACTGATGTGATCAAAAGGTTAACCATACACTTCTACTTTCATCCTTTCTCCAGTTGTCACCGTCCTTCCTAACCTTCAAGGCTTCAACTGCTCTGGACCTGTTGGCTCCTCCTTATCTGCCCTTCCTCCTTTTCTTATTTTCCGGATTTCATCATCTACATTCACTTCCGTTTCTCTTCCCATGTACAGATACAAGAATGACGAAAGATCGATGATGACTATGACTAGCATGGACCTTGCATATGTGGTGTCAAAAAACAATACTCCTATATCTCAAACATGTCATGTCTGTTTTCATCTCATCAGTACATCACTACCCTGAGGAGCCCCGGCTGGGGTTCGGAGTAGTCAAGGCCCTCCTCTTCGAGCAGATACCGCTGTACAGCAATTGGAAGTCGTGCAGGGGTTCGAGCACCTCTTGTGTGATGCCCTGTTCCAACGCATATGTAAACCTGTAACCGCTGATCTGCAGATCTGGCAGTGCTCCTCAAAACACCTAACTCGTGCCTCAGCACGTGAATGGCTTCACTTACATGCAGACCATGTAGGTCTATCATCCGCTCATGTCCAACTCTGCCGTTTCCCTGTGTCTCCAGGCCACCTTGGTTCCTGCAAAAAGACAGATATGAAACCAAGTTTTTAACCAAACATTGCTAGCAAAACAGCAAGGATAAACATAAAGTTCAGAGCTTTGCCCGACCAACCTCTGTCGGTATATCGAATCCTGTGCTTTCCCATGGGCTGTCTTCATCTGCACATTGTGCAGCTGCCCTTTGACACTCAACTCCTTAGCCAAGGCTTTATTTCCTATGAGATATGCTTGGCGTGCCTGTTTTTTAGGAAAAACAAACAGCATTCTTGCATCATTTTGGACCAAACTAGTTACCACGCACAATATACAACCAGTCTACACTTGGCTAAATAGGAGCAGACTCCCATGTTTGAGTTGGCTCCGTGAATTTCGAACCCATAACCACGGGCTAGCACCAAACCATCAATCAACACGTATGACCAGTTAGGCTACCAGCCTACAACTTTGTTTGAGTTGGCTCCGCAGTCTACTTATTAACTTCAAAAAGGTTACTGCATAATAACCTAATACGAAGCTCCCCAAAATTTTCACACAGGGATACACTTACTATAGACCTGTTTTACTTACTCAGCCTCTCCATCTATAACAATGTCAATCTTTCAAGTATCATAAGCGGTTCTAGATGGTGTATTATTCAAAAACCACACTGAGTATAGTGCAGTAACGTTTTGCAATTGACTGGCAATATTCCTACAGATATCCTCCAGTGAATTATTTTATTGTTATATTATCAGAGGAAAAAGGGGATGTCTTGAGAAGTCTGTTGCCATATGGCCGTAAGCCAGAACAGAAGCTAGCTACAAACAACCAAGGGATATTACCTGTTCAAAGTAGGCATTCCTCAAACGTGCATGATCACGTGCTTCTTCCCGCATCTCAGAATACAAATTTGCTGCCATCTCAACAATGTTAAAGCAAATATACATATACAAAGGCATTTGCCCCACAATTCAAAAGGTAGATAAAAGTAACATTAATGACTGAAGTATATTACCAACTGCTTCTCCAGTTTCAAGCCAAGTAGGAGTGGCTCGAGAAGAAGTACGATTCTGTAACCTATCCGTATACATGGCTCTCCCTTGGGAACTACTATATGCACTAGCCAGAACATTCGAACTTCTGCTTGAACCAACTGTGGAGGAATCAGCAGGACCATTCCTTTCGTATTTCCACACATTAGAATCTTGAAGGGCCATTTTCCTAACAGCTGAAGCAAAATCAGTTGCTCCTCTAGATGGAAAGGATGGACCAGACTTGAACATGAGCATGTTCTCTTTCTCAGGAGATTGGTATGATGAGTTTATACTTTGCTGAATATCATCTCTAGGATACTTTGAGGAGCCATTCTGGCTCTCTTGCATAGAAAGAGCAGGGAAATCCATTGCACTGAGATTGGGAGCTGACAACGCCTTTGAATTCATACTCTGGCTAAAACCACCATCTACCTGAAGCTGCAATTTAGACACACAGATCATGCATACCTCTGTCATCCATTAAATGTCCATTTCCAAAGCAAAAGTTATCACACCTACATGTAATATTATGGCCAACATTTCAAGTTGAAGGTTATAGATCTAGAACCGATGCCTCAAATACACAAAAACAAAACAGCTGATATCTCTTGTCAGCTTTCTTAACGAAATGCAGCAGAAAGTACTTGCATCAAGCTCATTGCCTCGATTCTCATAAGACACCCAGTATCCCTTTCCCAAGGTGTAAGACACATTGCAAATTTGGCAAACTTATAGCAAACACCCCATGCTTCTCTTTATCCAAGATGTCGTTAAACCTGAGCATTACTACAGTTGTGTGCAATATCTTTACACCGGGATGTACACACCCATCATAACAATGTCGGACAAAAAAGCCAGAATGAATATCACCAGAAGGTAAAGAGGAGGTTGTCTGACCAGGAAAAATAAAAATCGTACATAAACTGGTAAGAAGTACTGCTTTATATGCTTTCAAGTCCAGACCCATTTTGTAGTGTGTAAGAACCAGATAGGAAGGAGCTTAAGTTTGTGTCAATAATAGGAGCTTCATAGAAAAAAGGCAGACATGACACATTTATTGGGAAAGAAAAAAGTTGGTAGATTCACAGTCATCAGAGATTACACTAGGAAAACCTCATCTATCCCAACATTCACATATACAACCTCCTTAATATCTTTCAGTAGCTGTTTCCAGTTATGATTGTCATATGCAGCAGTTCTAACTTTAACATGACATCCCTCTTCATAGTTAGGAAACAATTAACCAATTACCTATTCATAGTTGGGAAAGAATTGAATAATTGAAGATTTACATGATTTATGCAAGCAAAACAAGTGAAAATTACTCCAGGAATAAGCAAACAGATACAACTAGAAAGAAAGTACGCCAAGAGAACAGAATTAGTAAAAAGAGTAAACCTCTAGCTGAGTGAGCATCTCGATTGTAAGATTTAAGTCACACCCATTCGCGAAATAAACTTCCGCGAGGCTTTCAGCAGCAAATCCAGGGAATTGAGAAGCCAGAAACTCCAAGGGATTCATTTCTGTCCCATCCATCATAGCATGTTCACTTAACATGTCATTCATGAACACTTGTCCAGAATTGTCACTGTAAGGATTTATCTCCCTCCCGTTGCCAAGAAGTTGATCTGTGTTCATAACTTGTTTGTCCCATGGCTTAGCAGAAATATTCAAAAGACTGCCTGCTGTCTGATCTTCAGCATAAGAAGAAGCAGGAAACTTCATCTTGTCACCATAGACGCCACCATTCAGATGACGAGGAGATGGTTGTTGTCCATTATATACATGCCCACTGCCGACAGAAGGGGAGAACCTCGAGGCTTCAGTAACATCGTTCAATGACAAGCCTGCCAAAGAAAGGACATCATATCCTTGAGAATCATCTTCACCCACCACCTTGAAGTCAGGAGTGATATCATCAGGTAGCTGGTGACGCCAGAACCGATGAGCTTCTTCATCTGAGGCATTAGATACAGATGAATCTGAACGATTAAGAGCTGCATTCCCAACAGCCGCAGAAGTGGCAAACCTTGGAGCTGTATCAGCTGTGTTTGAAGTACTTCCAGGTGATCTGAGGGAAAATGGAACAAACTCTATGGCATTCGGATTCAGAGCCGTAGCCTTGCTTGGGAAGTTAATGCTTGTGTCGTTACTTTGAGACACCTTCTTGGATAAGCTCATTTCTGTTTAAAATGGGAACGATAACTCTACTATATTCAAAAAAGACAAAAGGACACCTGAGAACTGAGTAATCGCAAGAGTTTCAGTAGGCTTATCCAAAACCTGCAAAAATATCAAAAGTGGTTTTCCATTAATCACGAGAATCATACAACAGCACTTACTGTCTCTATTGAGATCCACATTCCAGTTTACCACAGACCAACATCAACAACAATCCAAGTGTTAATAATATCTGCAGCAGCCAAAGCATAACTCAATTCATCACACAAATCCCAGCAAACCAATTTACCCCATTCGAGGTCTGCAAAGAAAGGACCGGAATACACAGCAACATGCACTTCTTGATGTTAACCAAGGATAATGGAACCAATTACCAACATACACTTGAGCAATTCAAATTAACTCCGCCTCTGTAAGCTTTACCACCAGATAAGTAGGCAAGGCAATTTGATAACACACAGCTTCTGCCGCTTGCATGGGGGCTTTAGCTTTCGAGAGTCAAAAGGGAAGAATAACTCGCCATCAAGCCAAAATTGAGGAGACCAATAATAATAAGATTAATTAAGAGCCAGTTCTGAAACAAAGCGGTTGAAATTCACAGAATGAGCATGCAGCTGAAGTAGTTGTAGCTAGAAAACACAAAAAGGATTAAAAAGCTTCGTTATCAACAGATAAGAGTTAAAGGAACAGAATCCCCACAACCCAAAGAAGCAAAAGTGTGTACATTTGATTTTTCAGAAAAAGAAAAGCCAAAGAGAGAGGGAACCCTAATTTAGAAAGCACCGAATTTTGAACAATAGATTTCACAACATCATCCACAGCCGAAAACAGCAAAGAGAACCCCAAGAAAAGAGGGACCCGAAAGAAACAAGCAGAAGGAGAAGCAAGCAATTAGATCTCAACAGAAAGAAGAAGCAAAAAACACCATAAGGAAAGTGGCGGAAAGAAGAGAAATTGACTAGAATCAGAAAAGATCTGGGAAGCAGGAAGGGGGGAGATTAGCCAGTGAAGAAATACCGTACCTTTACGAACAAGGTTGAACGGATCCATGGAAGAGCAGATATAAAAGGAGGGAGATCGGATAAGGGAGAGAGATGGGGGAAAAGGTGGGAGTCAGCAAGCAGCAGCAGTTGAAATATAGGCAAAGATGGGTAATATTAGCAAACAGTGTCTTGGTCTTGGATATCGAGCTCCGGGATTGTCACTGTAATTTTCTTCCTCTCTCTCTCTCTCTCTGGAGCTCTGCGAGGCCTGTGCTGTGGTTGTGTGCGTGTGTGGAGGAAGGGGGAGTGGATTTGGCTATCTATCAGCTATTTGGTTTGTTCGTTGGACATCTCTCTCTACGTTTCTTTCGCTCTAGTCTTTCCCTGGCTGGCTGCTTGCCTGCCCTGGCCTGGCCTGTCCTATCTATCTCCTCTTTTTTCTAATTTATTTTTTCAGATGATTTATTATTTATATCCTCTTTTTCTTTCCTCTATTACTATATATATATATGGCCTATGGGGTGTATTTATTTCTTTTTTATCAAATTTAAGTTGAAGTTAAAACTTAAAATAGTGTTTGTGGACTGATCGAAAATAAATTTTGTATCGGAGTTTAAACTGGTAAGTGATTTTCAGCGGAATTAAATTGTTGAACTATGATTAAGTCACGGTATAATACAAATATTGTACCGATGACTTATTAGGTATAGTTTGAAAATTATTGGTTAAAACAAATATATTTGTACTCATTTATTATTATCTTTAATATAAACCATTACCGACTCCAAGGCAGGCCAATTATTTAGATGTAAAATTTAATGAAGCAAGTGTGCAACAGTAACTCTAGTTAACGAGTGTACTTCGAGGGGGTTCACGGTCGTGAACTCTGATGAATGTCTTTGATCTTTGGAATGCATTCGTCTTGTCATGAACTTCTTTGGATATCACGGCCTAGGGTTAGCGACCGTGATTTTTCTTGCGGTAGGGAAATCTTAGGTCACGGTTTGCTTCGAGAAACCACAATACGTTTTGTTCTTTAGGTCTTCTCGTTGGTATAGAATAAAATTATGCTGAAGGAGAAAAAGTACACAATCATCGCATTACTCTATCTCATTACAACATCAGTTTATATCTTTGTTGTTGGACTCCTATTCCACGAACAACCTTTATAAAGATTGTCGTTGGAAGTGAATTGGTGAACAAATATTACTTGATTGGCACTTGATTCATAATCATTAGTATTAAGACCACGAGTGCCTCAGATGTGGTGAATTACAAATCTCAACCAAAGATAGTCATGGCCTGTCTACTATATTTGTATTTTTGGATCTCCAAGAAAACTTGGCAATTGTCATTGCCATGGATTCTAAGTGAGCTTTTGTGACCAAACATGTGGGTTCTTGTGGAGCTGGTTGGTTGTTTGGCATGAACGTTGAGACCCTTGAGGTTGTGAGTGACTTAGTTGTTACCTCTGTTTGGCTGCTACTTTTTTTTTTTTTTTTACGACAGATGTATGCTAATGTATATTTGAAAACCTAGGTATATGTTTTATATGTTCTTGGTTCTTTCTTCAACCCTCTAATCGATTTGGTCAGGTGAATTAATGGAAGTAGATAATTATAAAAACAAGGTAAACAAAATTTTGAAAACACTGTATCCATCGTGTGCTCATTACAGGTTGAGATCGTAACTTTGATAGCTATGCATGTAGTAGTCATATCAATGAAATCAAACTGTAATCAAAGTTATGAATCCTATAGATTTCTAGGGTCGTATTCCACAAGTTTTTTTCATAATAATTACTCGTATATGATAATATAATGCTCAAATAATGACTCATCAGAAATAGATGGGCTGAGGTTCCCTATGTTTATTTGGTTTTCGAGATGCATATGAAGTAAAGTATAACAAAAAAATACAACAAATGTTAAGATACACATTGATAAGAAAGTGAATCTTAGACGATCATGCGTTTCAATCTCAATAATGGTAATCTACAAATGCATCTTTTTATTATGTATCTCTAAGCCTTCCGTTAAGGCCATCATATTCGAGTTTTCACCACATGAATATAAATTATGACTAGCTAATGCACTTTCGCTTCATGCCACTAGACTAATCTATCAATAAAGGAAGTAGGGGTATCACATCACTAGTTAGGACTTCTACAAAGCATAGTGACGGTATATAATATTGATGATCTAAAGTATCAAGAATTGCACATAGTCGAGTATATATCAGGGATGGAGCTAGTATTTAAGTTTATTTTTTTTTGGGGGGGGGGGGGTGTCACTAAATATATAATCGCAAATGTTTAAATAATTATAAAGATAAAAGTATTATTAAAGATAATAAAATCACTCTCATTTAAATTTAGAACATGTTATGTGTAGAATAAATGAGTAAATTACGAATAAAATCAATCATGCATTTTCATTTGTAACATATTTTTAATATTTAATGTTTGAAAATATATCTTTGCAAAAGGATTAGTCCTTCATTTTCCAATCGTTCGCGAGTTGAACTCACTTTCTTCCCATGCACAACAAAAATTTAGTTCCTTTTAAATTATTGTTTGAAAAACTTAATTAATTATATGATCAAAAGAATCGTTAACATACAAATTTAAGAGTTAAAAAAGTTGATTGACCTAATATGGAAAGTTCAAATCAAATTATAGAATCTTTAAACATAAGAATTTAAAAGTTGGAAAACTTGATTGATCTAGCTTAAAAGCACAAGACTTGTAGAAGATAATGTAGAAGTTGAAGGACTAAATGGACCATTTGATTAAATAATTTTCTGAATTGCTATTCGTCGCCCTAAATTTCAAATTTTATCGCACTAAAATGCATAAAATTGACACTCTTACCCCATTCCTTTTGGTGCAGCCGCCGCCGCATCTTCTCGACAGACTTCCTCTTCATTAACAAGCTTGGCTCCGGTGGTGGTTTTCGCTCTGCCTTCTCTGTTTTCTTCTTTACCTGTTATGTATGCGTGCTTTTAGCCTTCTCTCTTTTGTATCCCTTTTGTTCCCTTTCTCCATGTACACTTCTGATGTATTAGAAAGGCAATAAAATTCACTTTCATCTATAAAAAAAAAAAGCTTGGCTTCATTTGTGGCAGAGGCCAGAACCGCCGCCGTTGATTGCACCATCGCCACCACCTAGGACAAAAACCACCGCGGCCCCTGCAACAATACGACAACCGTCGTTCTAGTGCCGGTACGACACTCGACCGGACCTGCTCAACGACGACGAGGAGTACTTCCAGTTATGCGCCTTCTCCTCCCGATTCGTCGTCAACCCCAGCAGAAACCCTGTCGCCGATGTAACGTAGTTGGAAAGAATTTGTTAAGGGTATTAAAGTAAAATTAATTAATTTAGGACCACGAATAGCAATGCCTATAATTTTTTAATAATTAAAGAAGCACAAAATATTTGCAATTCGCCAAATTGGAACCCAGGTCTAGGTAAAGACAAATTTAGAATGCTCCCTGCTCGACTATCCCAATTTTATGTAATCTTCTTGCGCATAAAAGTATTTAATCTAAACTCTTAGTTTATATACACGCCTAAGACAATAACATATCACATAAGTTAGGTTCCCATGCAACATACAATATTTTATAAGCAACATTGTAAACGAACATAATAGATGTAGTAAGCATTGCATAATTAAATCGTCGTATAATTAAAGCATTCGAATATCATAAACATCTCATGATATAGGCATTCAACAGGTATTAGCATCACATGACACGAGCATCTAATGAAACAAACTTCAAATAACATAGATAAAAATGAATAAAAACATATCATCATATCATAGAAAAAGATGTTATAAGCATCAATAGAATTAACATCCTTAACAACGAAATTGAACTTACAATACATAGAAGAGAAAGATGATATCACTATCAATGATGAATGCATCTCCTTTGTTGTATCCTACTATGAATGCTAATTTCTCCAAACCGAGTGGCTCATTGCTTGAGTTTGACAAAGTAATTTTTTTTAGTTTTTACAGCCTACTGAATCCCTCAAACTAACCCTATATTTATAGTGGAAGAACTAGTAGTTGGGGGGGGGGGGGGGGGGTTCCTCCTAAAATGCGACCAACCGCTTCTTGATACCAATGGGACTTGGATTTCTTATTTTGGGGATGAATAAAGGAATATCACCGATGTTCCCCTAAGCTCAAATTATAGTATTTATCACTACCCTTATTTGATCCATTTTCCATTATGGCAATGCATCTTTAGTAGATTTTATTATGTTATATATGTAATTTATAACTATTTGATCAATATATTTATAATAGACTTAGGTTGTGTTTTATCATCTTTTTGTGCTTTTTCCTACAGTTTCGTGCTTTTCAAAGTAAAATGCAATCGAGGATGATTTTGTTCAACACTTGGATCAAGTTGGAGAATCAAAGTGGTAATTGCTAGAAGATCAAGGATGATTCATGAATCATCCGTTAAACAAATCCCAATGGAGGAAAAGCCTTCATGAGGTCTTCATATGATCCCAAGAGGAGTCTACCGGAGAAATTTCAGGCGAAACCTGCAAAGGAAGTCACAGAGACCATATGACGGGTCTAATCGTCTCAGGCCAATACTCAATAAGTCGCGCTGAAAACCTATGGAGAGGTTACTTGTGGGCCAAATGAGAGGAGAATCCTCGGCGGCCCTACCCCTGCTAGCCTAAGCCAATAGTTGATTCATGAGTATTCCTTACTTCGTCCCCAAGTCAAGAAATTCGAGCCTCAGTGGTACCACCACACCTTTGGCCGAGTTTTAGGAGGAAAATACTAATAATCCCTTCTTCCATACACTATAACTCGATGGTCAGGCAATAGGATTAATTGGTAGATACTAGTTCTTGGGAAGTAGGTCTTCACCCATTTACTGTTCTACTTTCTAAGAGTCTGATTAGAGAGTGATTGTTTGGAGCTGTTGTTGCGTTGTTATGCTGATTCATAGGAATGAAGTCTAGTAGTCTACTGATCCCCCTTTCACTCGCTGCTATTTCAACTATGCATTGTCCAATGCCCTACTTCACGAAAGTATGTCTCATGTACTTCTTGTAGCTGGTTCGTGTTTGTTGGCAGAAGGCATGGTCATGTGCTCTCCTGGACTTGCGTGGTTGATTTTTTTTCTTTCTTTTATATTGTCGCTCCTTCTTGTTGTCTAGTTTTTCAGTCATGTGGTCAATCATCCCTTCCTTTCTTTGTATTGGTGGGATCACCTTCCCCTGACTATGAATGTTCTTTTCAGTCACAATATAAAGTTTATTGATGTGGCAAAAGTCTTTCGACGGTTCATCTTGTTTTCAGTTTCCTTCTCAAAAACTCTCAAATCATCAAAATCTTAAAGTCACTGATCTGATATTTTTGGTTTGAATAGACTCCTAAAATTGATATGTCTGATTATTGCCAACATATTGTAGTGGAAAATATAAACACCCTGAACAAAGTGATTCTATCACGTCTTCAAGTTTACTTTCCTCTCTCCCTCATTAACATATTGATTGCTCAAAATTCCGATTTCTAAAGAAATGGAAAACCATATTTCTCGCACAAAAGTACATTGGAATTCAAGAGGGAGGTTTAAATATGATTAGTGGCTTGAACTAGCACACAACACTAAACACAAACAAGGGTGGAGGTGGCTAATCAATTTATCCAATTAATCAATCAATCCAATTGACCAGTCAGTATTAATGAGAAAAAAAAAACAAGTCGGAATACGTAGAAGAAACAACAATACTTATTAAATGATAAAACAAACGTCGACGTTTTGGCACACGAACTGAAGGAAAAGGGGACTCTGACAATCATCACTGATTCGTTGGGCAAGCGGCGAGCTTGGCGAGCACCCCGACGGCGAGGGAGTTGACATAGGTACACGGCTCGGTAAACACCGACTCCCACCTCTTATCATGGAAGACGTCGTTCTTGTCGGGCCCACCAAGGATGGCGCCGGTGAGCTCGTTCGGGTTGGGCGCGTCCTTGTTGAAGTACTGGACGAAGCTCATGGGGCAGCTGACGGTGTCGGGAGCGGTGCAAGGGATGGACGCGCCGCGGTGGTGGGCCTGGACCGGCGGGTTGGCACCGAAGCCCACCATGTAGGAGCGCTTCTCCGGGTTGGCGCCCAGGATGTAGTCCATCTGCTGCCTGGCGAAGCCCATGAGGGCCTCGGAGTCGAACTGCTGGCCCCCGCAGCACACCTTCTGGTTGTTCTTCTTCAGGATGTCGCTGTAGATGGAGAAGAGCGCCGCCGCTCCGGTCACGTACTGTGAGTTGGCGCCGTCGCGGAGGTGGATCATGCCGCCGGGGGTTATGTAGACTTGGTGGTACGGGCTCTGTGGCAGGTTGGAGCAGACGTAGCTTTCTGCTTGGGTTTTGTACTGCTCCATGCTCTTCTCCCCTTCGTAGAATAGCTGCATGGCATGCATACATACCCTCACTATGTTATTGTTATACAATACAAATATACAATAGTATAGCTTCTCCCATTGATATATATATATATATATGATGTCTAGGGTACCCGGTGGCGTAGCCAGGGTTCGAGTTTAGTGGGGTCCCATTTACGAAAAAATCTTATAATATTGTATTTAATTATCAAGTAAATTTTCTTAAAAATATTCGTGCAGGTAGTCATTCATCAAACCGTTAGTTATTATATTTGTACCCTTACATTTTGTATAACTCATAATCGAAAAGTGACATTTCAATAACTAGCTAAAATAAATAGTTCCCAAGCAAAATCTAATGCACATAAACGTTTTATAAAACACATTTGATGACAAAAAAATTGTATATTGGTAGGAAAAAAATTGTTGGACTAAGAGCTTTTTCTACACATATTTAGTAGAATCAGAAATTTTTAGTATAAAGACTATATAAAATTGGGAATTCTCAATGATATATGAACAATATTGTCTAATTTATTTGCGTGTATCATAATATTAGGACAATTAAATTCCATATGGATGGGGTCCTGAATTCTAAATCTACTCAAATTAAACAAGTATGTACATGCATATAACCATGTTAATTTATCCAAATGAGGTCCTATAACTCTACTCCCTTCCACCTCCCTCCACCACTGAGGGTAACACATATACTCTTGGTAAGAAAATATTATTTAGATCTCAGATTAACCAAATTTTGGGACATGATACTCTTGATGAGTGAACCCTAATTTTAATTATCTAAATTATAGACTCCAAACAAAAGATGGTGCATATAACTTTTAGCATGTATACCGACAAATAATGACTGTTGATTTTTCCCCTAATAATCAATCTTTGTGTATGATATTTATTAAATTAAGACTTAAGAGTTTAATCTTATGGGATTATGATATAGTACCATGTCCTAACTCCTAAACTTCGGTCAATTCAAGGTCTAAACATAATTTTTGTACTTAGGTTATATCTTACTTTTGACATATATATATATATATAGAGAGTAATATAGGGATGAAGCGAACCTTGGCCAATAGAATCTGGGAGCCGGCGTATTTGAGATCCCAGCTGAACTCGGCAACACAACCGCTAATGGCGTCTTCCTGCAGGTACTTCAAGTAAGTTTCGTTCTTGGTGGCCATGTACAACCACGTCGCTGCCCACATCAGCTCATCCTGTCATCATGCATTCCTTCCACTCGTCAACTTTTGTACGATTGTGTGAAAATGATTTAAACATGTAACTTTAATTTTTGATATTATTTCGCGCAAGAGGACTCACATTGTAGCCTGAGAAAGAGCAATAGAAGGGGCATTCACCGTCGAAAGTTGCCTTGTGCGCTTTCGCAAATTTGAACATCTAGTTTTTCCAACCACAACATACAAAAAAGAAAAAAAACACGACGTCAACTAAGCATGGACAAACGAATAATAAATAATACGTTGAAAAAGTTGGCTTGTTTACGCACGGTTTTGGCCTTGTTGAGGAGGAGGCGAGAATAGGTCTTGTTGCAGCTTCTGAAAACCATGGAGGAAGAAGCAAAGGCGGCGGCAGCCTCGGCGGCAATCTCGGTACCGGCGTCACTCTGGTCGATCTTGAGTACGGGCCGTGGTGTCTTCATGGTCTCGGGCCGGGCCCAACACTCGTGGTCAAGGACCGGGTCCCCGACCTGGACGTAGAGGCGGTCGCGCTTGGTGCTGGCCTTGAGGAAGAAATCGGTCCCCCATTTGATAGCATCGAGCACGTGCTGCATTTCCCCCGTCGATTCCAGCTCCTTCCCGTAGAACACCGCGTTCATGGCCAGGGTCGTCACCGTGAACGCCATCGGCAGCCCGTACTTCACGTTGTCCCCCGCGTCGTAGTAACCACCAACTAGGTCCACCTGTAACGTTGTTGTTATTCAGTGGTATATAATCCGCGATTGAGCATTGTGATTAATTGGGATCATCATCAAAATTACGTACATTTACAACTTTACCGTCGTCGAGGGCGGAGTCTCCTCGCCACGGCACGCGGTTGTTTGAAGGAAGCTTTCCTGATCTCTGAGCTTCCAAGAAGATGATGGACTTGGTTAAGGCGTCCTTGTAATCAAAATGAGCCTTCACGGAAACAAAGCTGCTCGTCGACAAACACGCTACAATGGCTATAATTGCAGCCACATTTGGCCTCATTACGGAGGAGCGGAAGTTCATCACGCAAGAATTTTTTTACAACCAAGACGACGATGATCACCTCTTTTCCCTAATAAATCACGTAATGAAGGATGAAAGGGAACAATCAAAATTCTGAGGGAGGGAGGCAGGGCAATGAGGGAAAGGAAGAAAGAAGCGAGGTTGCATGGATGGATGGCCCTGCCGTTTCTGAATTTCTTGGAGGGGGAGGTCGTGGCTGGTCTCAATAAAAGAGGTGGAAAAAAAAGTCGTCTCTAAATCTGGCACTTTCTAGTTATGCATCGATGGATAATATAATTTTTTTTTTTGGGGTTAATGATGACCTATGGCTTGTTGCACGGATTTTTGGGTATCTGGTGTAGAAATTCATGAAAGAAACTAAAACAAAACGATCAACTACAAGAATAACATTATTATTATGTATATTAAGAGAGTGAAACATTATAAAATCCTAGCATGCAAAAAAAATTAAAAGACCTTAATTTGGATTTTTGTCATCATAATCGTAACTAAGGGTTCACAACTGATATCGAAACAAAGAGGGGTGGATTAACATAAAGTGACACACCAACACCAAAGAAAGCAATCTACTCGGGTTGGATTGAGCAGCAAAGGCAGTGGGAGTGAGAAAGAATGCTAGCTTTGGGGCGTGACCCTGGTGACTGACAACGACGATTCTGAATTGATGGGCAATCAAGGATGATGTGCACCGTCTTCTGACAATAGTTACAGAAGTTGGGTATTCGACGGTGCTTCTAAAATGCCCCAAAGCATGACAATGTTTGCATTGAACCTCAGGTATTGCGCTGGAATTTATGCTTCCCCAAGTGCGAACGCGTGATCGGAGGACGGCCGAGACTGACCATTAGCAGAGAAGACCGTGACAGAAATGTAATCCGAGACTGATCAGGATTGCAGAGGAAGAAGAAGATTCGAACAGAGTCCAAAGGAGGAGAAACGTTTCTGTTCTGGAGACGTTTCCTAGAATAGGTTGTAAGCTCTTGAGGTGCTGCGACACAGTTTTATTTAGAGTCATTAGCCGTTAAGTACTGTTTAACTTTTTAAACATAGCCAACGTGAGTGAGACACGTGGCAGTCATCTGTAATCCTAATTGCAGAGAATCAATACAAAGGACAGAGCAGCAAGATAGCTGCATGTACATTTCTCGCACATCTCAATCTAAACCTAGAAACTTCTCATGGTATCAGAGAGGCCGTTCTAGGCCAGGTTTCGCGATGGGATGGCTGGGCATGAAGCATCGCCGTTCACCGGCGAGACGCAGGTGCGACCGGCGTCTTCAACACATCTGGTGTTCAACTTGGATCTAATGGTGGCGATCAATCTGGCAACAACAACATCATCACCTTTGGTAACCCACTTTACTTGAACCCAAATGAAAATTTCACACAACCCATCGTTTCTGAGGCACTCGATGGGAACAACTACTCCATGTGGAGTAGATCCATGAGAAAGCTCTGAAGATGAAGCATAAGCTGGGTTTCATCGATGGGTCCATGGAGATTCCCGCCAGAAACAATCCAAGCTATTTCTTATGGGATAGTTGCAACATTGCAGTTGTAACCTGGATTTTGAACTCTCTACAGAAGGATATAAAGAGATCTGTTATGAGTCATGAAAATGCTAAAACTCTGTGGGATGAACTTCATCGTAGGTTTGGTCAGCTAAATGCTAATAGGTTGACAAACTTAGAGGATGAAATCCACATGTGTAAGCAAGGAACTATGACTATCACCCAATACTACACCTTGATCAAATGATTTGGGATGAGTATACAGAATTTAGCCCTGTTGTGGAGTGTAACTGCATCCCAGGAAATCCCAATCTTTGTACTGCTGTGACTGCTTACAATAGGAAGCAGGAAACTGATTACCTAATCCGTTTTCTACGAGGTCTGAATCCAGAATATGAGGGAGTGAAGAAACAGCTTTTGATGTTAAAACCACTGCCTACAGTAGCTGATGCAGTGGATGACCTACTCCAACATGAGCAGGAGTTGAAGGCCAATGATTCAGGAGGAGGAAAGAAGTCACAATCTGTGGCTCTTGCAGTTCAGGGTGATAACACCAAGACCACAGAAAATACCGAAAAGGGTCAAGGTAAGAAGTACTGCAAGTTCTGCAAAAAGACTAATCACAACATAGAAGAATGTTGGAATTAAAAAAGGAAGAGTAGGGAGCAGGAGCAAGGTGGAAATTCTCAACCTGGTTCACACAAGTTTGTTGGATCAGTGTCTCAAGGCAACTCCAGTAGGAGTGAGTCATCTTCTGAAGTGAGTTTCCATAATAAGAGCAACATGGTAAGTCCACCTTCTCTTAATTTTACTCCAGAAGAGCTGAACAAGTTGAGATATCTATTGCATTTTGGTGCTAATCACCCAGCTCCTACCAACCAAACCTCTTCACCATCACCTCCAACCTCACCCTCTATCCAACACCAAGCCTACTTAGTCTCACAATATCTTCCTCCATTCCCAAACTACTCAGGTAAATATGTGATATCTTCATCTATAGACTCTAACTCCAATAGACCTAATAGCTTGTGGATATTAGACACTAGGGCATCAGATCATATTGCCTGTTCTTTAGAGTTGTTTACTGAACACACACAAGTTCAGGACATGTTCGTTCACCTTCCAAATTCTGCTAAGGTTCTAGTCAGTCATGTAGGAGTAGTCAGATTGCCTTTTGGACTTTTTCTCTATAATGTACTGCTAGTACCTAGTTTTTCTTTCAATCTAGTGTTAGTTAGCAGACTCACACATGATTTCCCATATCCTTACACTTTCACTCTGACATTTGCCAAATCCAGGACCTTCTAAACAAGAAGACGATTGGTTTAGCAAGAGTCTATCACCTTACCTTCACAAACCAGCCATCAAACCTTCCAGCTCTTCACCAAACTCAAGCTGCCAGTGCTTTCAACTTCAATCCCCAACAAGTAGACCTGTGGCACTAGAGATTAGGACATCCCAGAAATGATAGGATTAATCTGTTACTGCATAGTGATCCTGATGTAACTCATTCCAAAATTGATCATTGTAATATTTGTCACTTCTCCAAACACAAAAGGCTACCTTTCCCTGTTAGCTCTAGTAATGCAGTTAGACCATTTTAACTTGTTCACATTGACATATGGGGACCTCTATCTGTTGTGTCTCATGATGGATATAAATTCTTTTTTACAATTGTTGATGACTGTTCAAGGGTTGTGTGGGTGTTTCTGATGCATAACAAAAGTGAAACAAGAGATCTTCTTAAAGGTTTCTGCTATCTGATTAAAAATAAGTTTGAAAGTAAAATACAGGTCATTAGAAGTGACCAAGGGAAAGAATTCAACATGTGTGATTTCTTTATCTCTGAGGGCATAGAGCACCAAATGTCCTGTGTGTATACCCCACAACAAAATGCTAGGGTGGAAAGGAAACACCAACACATCTTGAATGTGGCCAGGTCTTTAAGGTTTCAGTCAGGGTTACCCTTAGAGTTTTGGAGTGATTGTATCTTGCATTCTGTTTACCTTATTAATAGAATGCCTACACCTCTCCTCAACAATGTTTCTCCCTATGAAGTTCTTTACAAGAAACCACCTTATATGGGTCACCTCAGGGTGTTTGGTTGTTTGGTGTATGTTGGTACTCCCACTGCTGGCAGAACTAAGTTTGCCCCCAGATCTAGGCAGTGTGTACTTCTTGGTATTCCACTTGGGATCAAGGGTTATAAGTTGTTAGATATTCACTCTCAACAAGTCCTCATTTCCAGAGATGTAGTCTTTTATGAATATATGTTCCCATATATAACAGATGATGACTCCACCTCAGTACCACAACCCTCTTCTGCACCTCTTGACCCTCCACCTCTTGATACTGGCCCTCCTCCTGATCTATCTATTCCTAGCACTTCTGCATCTCAGCCTTCACTTCTTTCAGATACTGATCCAGTCTCAGCCGAAAGGGGGGGAAGTCACACCTGATGATGAAGTGCAGGACATAGTTGAACTTGATCCTGAACTTGAGCCACAACAGGTTTATGAACCACCAGCTAGACCTAAAAGGCAACATCATTTACCTAGGAATATGATGATTGTGAATTGGATCCAGATTTAAAATTTGGAGCTTTTGGTCACAATGCAGCAGCTGTAAGAAGGTATCCTATCTGTTTGAATGTGGATCATTTAAATGCACTTGACAGGGTCTATGCTTTAAGCATCATCCAACAGGATGAGCCACTCACTTATCAGGAAGCCATTAAACATGAGCACTGGAGAAAGTCAATGAGAGAAGAATGAGATTCCCTTGAAGCAAATCAAACATGGGATATTGTTCCATTACCAGAAGGGAAGAAGGTAATAGGAAACAAATGGGTATATAAGATCAAGCTGAAGCCAGATGGAAACATTGAAAGATTCAAGTCCAGATTGGTAGCCAAAGGGTATACCTAGGTCTATGGAATTGATTTCCTGGAACTTTCTCACCTGTTGCTAAGATTAATTCAGTTAAAGCCTTACTGGCAATTGCAGCTGTGAAGAATTGGACTCTAGAGCAAATGGATGTCTCAAATGCCTTTCTTCATGGTGACTTAAATGAAGAGGTCTATATGCAATTACCACCTGACTTGGATTTGGAACAGCATGGCTCACAGAGGATGGTCTGCAGACTGAAGAAATCTTTGTATGGGTTGAAGCAAGCCTCTAGACAATGGTTTGCTAAGTTGAGCAGCTTTCTGTTGAAAAATGGCTTCAGCCAATCTGCTTCAGACTATTCATTGTTCACCAAGTGGGTTCGTGGCAGGATTGTGGTATTGCTCATATATGTGGATGATATCATAATAGGAGGAGATGTTGTGAAGGATATATAACAGGTTAAGAAGGCCTTGAGCCAGGAGTTTGAGATGAAATTGCTTGGTCCTCTCAAGTACTTCTTGGGTCTGGAAATTAACAGAACAACAGATGGGATAAATGTTTGTCAAAGGAAATACTGTCTTGAGTTGCTAAAAGAGACAAGATACTTGGAATCTAAAGGATGTCAAACACCAATTGATCCTAAGGTAAAGCTGTCTGTAACTCAAGGAACACCACTACCAGATGATGAGCAGTATAGAAGGTTAGTGGGTAGACTTCATTATATCACCATCACCAGACCAGACCTGGCCTTTGCAGTGCAGCAACTTTGTTAGTTTCAAAAGAAACCACATGAGGAACATCTCCAAGCAGCCTATAGAGTCCTGAGATACTTGAAGAATGGACCAGGGCATTTACTTCGACAGTGGAGCAGAAATGAAGCTGACAGGGTTTTGTGACTCAGACTGGGCAAGTTGCCCAAATACAAGAAGGTCAACTACTGGCTACTGTACCTTCAGAGGGATATCGTTGCTTACCTGGAAGACTAAGAAACAGACCACTGTTTCCCGGTCATCGTAAGAGGCTGAATACAGGGCCTTGGCAATGGCAGTTTGTGAAGTTCAGTGGCTAAAGGGACTTTTGGAAAAATTGAGTGTGAAAATTCCATAGCCCATCACTATCTACTGTGATAACAGGTCAGCTATACACATAGCAGAAAACCCTGTGTTTCACAAGAGGACCAAGCACATAGAAATCGATATTCATGTGACAAGGGAAAGAATCAAAAGTGGTTTGATTAAGTTACAGCATGTGAACACAATCAACCAGTTGGCAGATATCTTTACCAAAGGTCTGGATCAGGTACGATTGAAGGATTTGTTGATCAAGTTGGGAGTTGTTCTTCCCTCCACAACTTGAAGGGGGTGACAGAAATGTAATCCGAGGCTGATCAGGATTGCAGAGGAAAAAGAAGATTCGAACAGAGTCCAAAGGAGGAGAAATGTTTATGTTCTGGAGACGTTTCCTAGAATAGGCTGTAAGCTCTTGAGGTGCTGCGACACCGTTTTATTTAGAGTCATTAGCCGTTAAGTACTGTTTAACTTTTTAAACATAGCCAACGTGAGTGAGACACGTGGCAGTCATCTGTAATCCTAATTGCAGAGAATCAATACAAAGGACAGAGCAGCAAGATAGCTGCCTGTACATTTCTCGCACATCTCAATCTAAACCTAGAAACTTCTCAGACCGCTTCACCTTCACCAGGACGTAAGGAAAGCTGGGATTGAGTTTTGAAATGAGTCTCTGCACATATGAGTTTCCCCGACACATCTTCCATCATCAAACCATCTTGATTTAACAGACTGGAATAGACAGCCTCAAACTCAGGCCTAAGGGTCATCAAGAAAGACATAATACGAGTCTACTGTCGTTCCTCCGTCATGCGAAAAGCTGCAGTGAGCAAATCCTGCTCAGTCCACAGCTCTTGCGCCTTGTTAAGTAACTCGCGACATCAAGGTCGCCTTGCTAACGACGAGCTAACTTGAACTGAATATCCGATTTTCGAGCAGCGTTACGTTGTTTGCAGAATAAGTAGACACCAGATGTGCCCACATGGCTTGAGCATCAGGGAGAAGACGAAGCCTAAGCACAATGGTCGGCTCAACCAACCCTAAGATCCTCGATTTCAGTCGGGCATTGTTCTGATTCCAAGGAGCAATGTACTACTCTGAAGTTGCAGGCGTTACCGGTCTCGTTGTCGTACCATCAAGGATTCCAAAAAGGCCACGATCTTCAACAAAAAAACGAAATTGAAACTCCCATAATGGGTAGTTCTTGGAGTTGGGACGAACGACAAGGCAAGACGATCCTAATCAGCTGACAAAAGCTCTGTACCATATTAACAAATCGAGCTAGCACAAATAATGATAGAAAGAATAAAACACAAGACACACGATATACTTGGCATTCCCGAGATCGGGACTAGTTCCATGGGAGAGTATAGTACTCTCCGGCTGCAATCTTATTCCAGTATTCGATGAACACAACCGCCAAAATACAAAGGATTTACAAGAGGGAAAATCCCTACTCGACCACTCAACTATCTACTAGATCGTGGCTCACAAGCCAAAGAAAGGAAAGAAGAAGAAAAGTATCTGCCAATACGTATATACACATAGATACAAGTATGGGCTTAGCCCAAATTATTCATAGTTAGCTTACTTGTATACTACACATACTTGTGGAATATCAATGAATGTAAAAAGATGTAGATAAGAAGCAGTGTGTTGCGTCGTGCTCATGCCAAGAAAGATCATGATCCCACCTAACATAAACTAGACAAGAAGCACAAAATGGTGTTCATTTTGAACAAAGATTGCCTATAGTGGTTGTCTCTAAAACTCGCAAGGTAAATTGTGCAGAATTATGCCTTATTTCCTCACTCTAAGACTATAGAGAAATAGCTTGAATCTCACGTCAGATAATTAATATGAACTCTAACGATACAACTTGGAAAGTGGTACAATTTGTGCGATCTTCTGTCGCACCAGTAACCGAGTGAAAGAGTATTAGGTATTTATGTGTCAAATATGCTTGCGAATCAACTGAATACATTACCTACCGCTTCCTACGATGAATATACCCAATCACCCTTGACACAAGATGGACCTCCTTCCCCTTGTTGAACTCAAAAGATAGCCATCTGGAAACGAACTGCATAGAATTTCTTCTAATCAACTCTCACAGATCAGTTCATCAACGGTGTGTCCACCAGCTCACCGCCACACCATGTTCTTCTTCACTGATCCTTGATTCACAGTTTATGCCAAGCAAGATGTTTATTAGTTCCATTCGCCCGCCAATTGTCTACTTCAAAAATTTGAGACAATGGAGATGACAAAGGTTGGCGGCTTTAGCATTTCCTGATGATACTTGCCACATTTTTGCCAATATCTTCCTTTGCTTGCTCCGAAACTGGAACATCCCCTATGTACATGTCAAAGAAAGCCCCTACACAAATGAAAACATAAGTTCAGTTCCTGCAAAGCGACACCACATATTTTTAGCATGTATCAGAGGGGACAACTTACTGCATAGTTCCTTGCTTTGGATTGCTCCAATATGATTTCCTTCAACTACATGGAAAAGAAAGAGCTCCACACTAAGACCTTATAACTGAAATTAAGTTCCATAATTGGAGGTACAGATACCACTATGATTCTGAGTAAATTATTAACAATAAGTAATTTGAGAGTGAGAAACCAATAATCAACGTCAGATATGACGGGAAGTACAGAGCAGGGATATGCAAGCTTTAGATTTCAAGCGTGAACCTACAGAAGCTAACTTTCTCATATGCGAGGATACAACTTCAAAATTATTATTTCTTACTTTCAGTTATTAGGCGGCCATCAGCTGTGCGCCTAAAATCAACAGTGGTTCCCTGCAAAATAAATCAGTTGACACAGTAGTCTCAATAAACCCTCAAGTAGAAGAACACTTTAATTTCAACAGCATTAACATGGAGTGCAAAGTGAGAAATTACAGCCGGTATTGGAATATCTTTCGTGAACAGTGAGCCAAATGCTTTCAGGCAACTGTAATCAGTGCTAGGGTTTGTCTGATAAGGCAACAAAAAATCAATTAGAACGTTCTCAAATTGCAAGTTATCCCATCAGTCCCTCTCTCTGTCAGCTTGAGAACAAAGTAGGAGGCAAGAGAGATATTTTACAACTGAAGGAATATGAAGAAGATGTACCTTCAGTAGTCGAGCTCGAAGTGATTTTTCAAAAGCACTGCAATCATGTAAACAAAGGCCAAAGGTTTTAATAAGTGAGCAGCTTCGGTAATAGTTGCTATAATCAAGCATCAATCAGAACAAATGCCTACTATTCTAGCTCATCCGGATCTAACTAACAGATTAAAATCTAACAAAAACATGAACTACCATACAGCTCAAAACAAAGAGAAACATGTATCATCCATGACTTCTCGTAAAAAGTACTCTGAAAATCATGAATCTTGATCTTTATTCATGACTAATGAAAGAATCACTAAAAGGTGACAAATCATAAGACAATAAGGACCTGTAGATGTGATTAGTTCAAATCATCACCAGCAAGATGACAAACATGTCGTCGTAAAACCTCATTTTGTTCTATTCAATTGAAGTTCATTCTTATACTATTTCGAATAACACTATTATGTTAAGGAAAAAAACCCCATCCTAAAATACAGCTAAGACAAATGATAGAATCATAATATCTCCAGGAAGGAACAAATGAAAATCGCAAATTACATACTCTCTCACAGTATTGATTTTCATTCCGTTGCAGTTTATCACAAGACGAACAGTCATGCCAATATCCTCCCTGTACAACTCAAAAAATGTCAGGAGAAACTTTTACAAATTGATTACATCACTGATAAAAATTTTAAATTTGTATACACTGAATAAAATAACCCAAGTGCCCAACCATGCCAGAATAAAGTAGTTATGAAATTCATTTATTTTCTGAAGAAAATAACAGTAGAAAACGAAGGCCAGGAGAAAACTTTCTATAGCAATTCTTATCTTAGTCACGTGACTCGGGAAAGAATTTCAAAGCATATTACTCACAAGGTAACAACAGTAAAGGCATTTCAGAACTTCCTTGTGAACTTCTTAATAGCTTCATACACTAGCTAGGTAATGAGAGTATAATATATATAACAACACGTTGGTCCAAGGTTTGAATCCTAGGTGATAGGGATGTTGTAATGCAATTGAGAAGTGAGGAGCTGCATCAGTACCACTGACATTCTAAGGATATTATTAAATGAATATTTATCTTACATAAAATGAAGCCCAAGAAAAGATGCCAAACATGGAGGGAAGGAAAACTCAGCCATGAGTTTAAGTTTCTAGATACCTGAGAAGGTCTTGGTAAAAGTCATGCCTCTTGTCTACCTCGTATACTTGATTGGAAGCATATTTCCAGCCCAACTTCTCACAGAGCGAGTTAGGATGGACATCTGTGAGACAAATAATAAAATATCAACACAAAGGTTCCCAGAATTGAACAAGTGATCACGTGTGTAGGTAACAGTCGGAAAAATATATTAAGGACTTACAGAAACCAAATGCGTAGACTTTAAGAGACTTTATTTTGATTATTTTCATGGTTCTTGATCCAGTTCCAACAAGGATCTGAAAGCATGATGAAATAGTTCATAGTTGAGTAATTGAAAGGAACTAAAGTTCTCTCAAACTAGAAGACAGAATGAGCAGCTGTATAATAACTGAGATTAAGAAGGCACAAATGGGTTTAGAAAATCGAACAAAAACCATATAAAAAACATAACTACATAAAATAATCTGCTTCCCGTGCAACTAATTTAGTATGCATGGAAAAGTAAACAGCATTGCTAGAATGGATTCACAGTACAAGGAAACAAACAGTACATATAAATCTCATGAATCTATTTTCCACAAACACATCAGATAAGAAAAGAGATGTAAATATAAAAGCACAGGAAAATCCAAGGAAAAATCACCAGATGTAAATACAAGTAGAAGCCTCAACTATCAAGATAAATTGAAAACCCCAGATCAAGCTGTAGAGATGCCTTACGAAGCTAAAAGAAGTGTCAAGATATTCACTTAAATTTTCCAAATAGATAGTTTGATGAGGCAAAGCATCATTGAAGCCACAATAAACGTGCATCAACAGAAATAGTCATGGATGAAACATTGAAGCATCCAACCCAGGCACTTAGCACGATAAACAACAAATACTACCTCTGGAGCTAGACTGGACTTTTTCTCCTGGGTTGAAGAACTATCCAGTACTATTGGGAACTCAATGCCAGTTATTGGCTCAACTGCATGCTTTTTCCAATTTAAGTCAGGACATGAACAGATTGAACATCCCTGAGGTTCAATGTCATGCCGCCTTTGATCAAGGAAAGTGTGGACTCTAGCGGCTTCGTTATCAGGTTTGCCACCTAATAATTCAGGAGATCTAACAATGACAGGTAAGTCATATTATAGAACCAATTACCACCGAGGGTAAGGAAGTTCATATTCTATCATGAAAAATGAGAGTAAAGAAACCGTGCATGAAAGCCATCATATCATAATAAACTTCGAGTTGACTCACAAATTCTGAAATGGTGGAATAGAGGTGCTAGCTAATGATAGCACATGTAATGACTGAATCTTGTCAGCTTCTCTAGACAATAGCCTTGTCCAAACACCAGAGATCTTTCTAAACACCTCTGATGAGAAAGGTTTTCCTTTTGACATCGAACCAGAGCAAAACCCATCAATATATAGTTCCATTGGAGTGCTGTGCTCAACTTGCTCCGGTAATCGAAAGCTTTTATGGTTTAGATCAAGTCCGCTTCTCGATATCTGCCTGTTTAAATAGGAACTGGATGTACCAGTAAACCAAAGAAGTAGAGAACCTGCTAGTTTCGAAGCACGATGAAAAGCTTCTTGGGTAATACAAGCAGGGCCATCTAACAACCGAGACTGGCTCATGGAGTTATCCAGAAACGAGCTAAATTGAGCAAATAAGAGGTTGCTGCAATTATGTGAGAGAAGGGGCACCACAGGTAAGATATATGGAGATTCTCCTTTCATGTCTAGGAGAAACCACCAATTATCACGCATGGCTTTCCTGGAATCCACGCAGACTGCAACCTCGATTCTGCAAGGCCAACCTCTGACACCAAAACAGAAAGCCCTACATAAAATTATGGCCAATCAGTGAGCTTTAGAATTAATCATATTAAACAGAATAATGGCCTTATTATCAAGATTGATGTAAATGAACTGAAGCTCTATCTCATACAACCTTGCGGACTCTACAAGGAGGACAAAGTGCAAGAAGAAAACTGAGACAATGAAATAACCCATGAATCAAGAACAAATAATTTCATAAAACGAAACCATTCTCTAATTCCAAATTGTATTTATTCTTACGGATCCCATGATCCCATGTTAATAAGATATCCCCACAAGGTAGAAACAAACATGGGAACCGGAGTCTAAAACAACCAAAGACTCTGGCAGCATACACAAGTGCGGTCCACAAAGAACTGGCCTCAAGCTTTCTACAAACTCACAAGTATTTTTGTTTTATAAGAGGACAAGCTGAGCTACCTAGAGGTGCAAACAGGGAGCCTGGTTATCAACATGTGGGGAGTATTATGCAACTGGCCTATGTAGTTATGTCACCGACCAGACTAACAATTCAAATCAACAGTCAATTTCAATTTGAAACAGCACCAGCTCGTTAGCCATCAGTTTTGAAGCCAAGCAAAAGCAACTTCTTAGATTTATGCAATAGTTATATGTTATAACACCAGTTGACATTTTGGTGCTCTCTGTCCTAGTCAAGAACGGTTTTCCTCCCAAAGAAACAAATCACCAACAACTACGAGCTAGCAAGAAAGTTATACTCGTATGATTTCATCTCGATTCATCTCAGTCAAGAACAGCTCCGACACCATATTCAAAGACACTAGTTCCTAAGTTCAAGATTACCTTTCACTAAAACAAACCAAGATCAATATTATCTTTCATCCTATTGTTCAACCCAGATATGATTTTCAGCAGTCCAACAATCACAAATCGAAATACGGTAAATTAATAAGGTCTTCCATCAACAAAGCACATTGCACAATATTTTTATTATTATTTCAGCATGCAATCTGTTAATAGTTTTTTAGCTCGTCCGCCAACAAAAGAGAAGTACATTCTGTTTACAATCCTGAAGAGTACTATGCACATCGCACAAGTCAAGAAAGATTAAACAAGCATATCCAACAATCAATAGTCATACAGACATGCAAGCTCCTGTCAAAGAATAGCAGAAGCAAGAGCCAAGAAGCCATACCTGGGGCTCGGATTGATAATCAAGAACAGGGAATGCCGGGTCCAATTTGAAGACTGCTTCTTCACAGTCTCTGTCTATCTCTTCCAATCAAAGAAAGCAACAACGATTCCGAAACGGTGGAACTGAGGAATGCAGCAAGACCACGAGCGTTGCCCTGCAGAAGAGAGGTTTCTGCCTCGTCAATCTTAAACTATCGATTCACCCGTCAATTTCCTTCATCAGGGAATCAAGAGCTAATGGCAACCGGTGGTGACAGGCAGTAACCAGGTGGCAGGGATGGGTGTGGAGGTTTCCTTGCTTCCTTTCTCTTCTTTTTTCCGCCGACCTTTTTTTCTTCTTCTACGTGAAAAACAAGAAGCAACGTCGGTTGCCGGCGGGCCCGGAGATTCAGGAGGCAACGGCAAGCGGGAAAGGGACGGCGATCAGCAGAGATGGAGGCGGTGGATCTGCTGCTCTTTCCTGAATCCTACAATTTCTATAACCCTCGCCACAAATTTCGGCCCCCCAGAATTTCTTTCTTCTCAGTTTTCCCCGTCATTTTGTAATTTTCTTTTTCCTCACGAAACCGTTCAGCAATACGGCAAAGAAGAGATTCAAAACGACATTTTCTTCTTCTTTTTTTTTTTTAGAAAAAACGACATTTTCTTAATGCATAACGATATTCTGAATCGCTAACCCTGTCCTAAATATATTTTTGGGTAAATACAATATATTAGTCATAACTATTAACCATCAAAAAATTATAGCCACAATTATTTTATTAGCCAACCGTTAAGTTTTCGTTAACACTTCCGTTAGTAATATTTACTAAACTTTTACGATGCTGAGCTAGCTCCCACGTGGCAGTCATCATATCGTATTTTCTACGATGCTGACATGACCTTCTCCGTTAAAAATTTGAAAACATTAACAGGTTGCTATCCAAATCTTGACCCGCAACAATAGTTATGACTAATAATTTGTATTTTGATAGTTGAAGCTATAATTCCTCGTTGGTTAATAGTTATGGCTAATATATTGTATTTACCCTATATTTTTATATAACGTGTCCTAAAATTATTAGGCCAATTAACACTATAACATTGGAACTATTTAAAACTGGTGTTCAAGTTTATTCAGTATTACATTTCTATTATGAACTATGTTTTAGTTAATGTTGATTAGCATTGATCGTTAGTATTTAACAGAAAATCTAGTCAACAGTAAAGTGCATATAACATGAAAATTTTAATTTATTTTTCAACTAGCTTGAATTAAAAAATAAAAATAAAATTATCTATCTTCATGGTCTCACCTCCTCCCACAATTTCCCCATGTCAGGAGCCTCTCTTCGATTTTTTTAAGAGATTTTTGTAGTTCCTTGCGTTTATGAAACGGTAAAAGCTGGAACCGAATGGGAAAGAAAATTAAAGATCGTACATGAGAGCAGCCATGGCCATCAAACACGCCAAAGAAGGAAGTGCCTTCGCCACTATCGCCATCTCTCCTAGATCTGCCCGTAGACTCTTCCTCTCTCTTGGTCCTGTTAAGAGAGTTGTATCTCTCTTTGTTATTAATGGGCTTTAAGAGTTGATTAGCCCATAATTGTCATGCAGCCCATGCACGGTTAGAATGTTGATTGTAAAACCTAACCTAGGGCATATATATATTCGTTGTACAGCTAGAGGAGACGCACTGATTTTCGGCTGCTCTCTTCTGAACATTTTCAGTCTAGTGAAACCTCTGTTGAAGAGCCCTAGCTCTTCCGTGGATTAGTCCTGGAATTCCAGGGATACCACGTTAAATCGATCTGTTCATTTACTGCATTTGTGAGATTTGATTTGTTAACATGGTATCAGAGCCATCGACTATGGAGTTAGAGAAATCGATCGTCCGACTGTCACCAACGAATTTCCCTCTCTGGGAATTTCAGTTTCGTGTGTACGTAGAAGGTAAAGGATTGCTCGGAATCCTTGATGGAACCACTCCCCGACCTGCCGAGACTGCTCCAGCTCAAGCAATTGCGGCTTGGAATCAGAATGACGCTCGTGTTCGTTCGGTGTTGCTGAGTTGTGTTGATCCTACTACCTGTCTGAGCCTTCGGCTATTCCCAACAGCGAACAGGATGTGGCGGCATTTACAGGGGCTGTACTCAACTGTGAATGCAGCCCGTCAATTCGAATTGCAGATGGCTTTGGCACGTCTGACGCAAGGTGAAAACTCTGTTACTGAATATTTCAATTCAGCTCAAGAATTGTGGACCGAGCAAGATATGTTGAATCTGGCCCTTCGCCCCAATGCTGAGATGACCGAGGATATGTTAGCTGAACGTCAACGGGAACGCGCAATGCAGTTCTTGATGAAGTTGCGACCAAAATTTGAACCCGTAAGAGCTACCCTTCTCAACCAGGATCGCTTGCAGTTTGATGGGCTACTTAGTGCTCTAGTACGTGAAGAAATTAGGCTAAGAACTCAATCCCAGCTTGATATGCGCCCTGGCGAAGGTGAGACCATTATTGCTGCCGCAGCTGTTCAAGGAGTCACCCCTGGTCATGAGTCAGTTTATGCAGTTGGTCGGCCCCATTTTCAGCAAAGGATCCCAGTCACGGAATTGGAGTGCCATCACTGCCGCGAAAGAGGTCACGTCCAAAATCACTGTAAGCGAAAGAATTATTGCGTTTACTGTAAACGATCCGGTCATATAATTCTTGAATGTCGCACCAAGGAACGAAATAATGCTCGATATGGCGGCTATACTTCCAACTTGGGTCCTGTTGACCGCCATCCTGCTGCCGAGCGCTATGCTGCTCGCAATAATCCAGCTGCAGGTAATAATCGAGCAGCTTATGCCACTATTCCTATTGAAACTACAGCCCGTCCAAATATGAAAGAAATGGCAGGAGCAAATGGTGAATGATGCACTTCAACGCTCACTGCCCAGTGCTCTTTCCTCAGCCTTTGCTTCATTTAATGGGTCAGGTAAAACGTCTCATACTCCTTGGTTGCTAGACTCTGCTTGCTTTAACCATATGACCCGTCATGCTAGTGCTTTATCCACTATTCGTCCAGTTCAAGATATGTCACTTACTGTTGCTAATGGAGATAAGTTGCATGTTCAAGGAATGGGTCTGGTTAATACTTCACATGTAGAATTACCAGATACTTTGCATGTTCCTAAGCTATTACCGAACTTAGTCTCTGTGGGTCAACTTACTGAGCAAGGCTATTCTGTTTTGTTTGCTCCGACTGGTTGTATCATACAGGATTTGAAGACGGGGAGGCAGATCGGAAGGGGGAGTAAACAAGGCCGGATATTTCATTTAGAGGAGTTACATGGGCAATCCGATTTAGTACCCGTCAGTAGTCCTCTGTCGAGTTCTGTCAGTAGTCCTGTTTTTTCTTGTTTTTCCAATAATGTGTGGGATTTATGGCATGCCCGGTTGGGGCACCCACATTCTGGTCGTCTTTCTCTCATGTTCAATCAGTCTTTGCTTGGCAAACATCATGTTAAACAGTCGGATAAACATACCTGCACGAGTTGTGTGGAAGCTAAAACTGTTAGTATTCCTTTTCCATCCAGTACTACTGTCATATCTGATCCTTTCCACATCATTCATACCGATCTTTGGGCCCCTCTCCAGAGATATCTCGTCATGGGTATCGATATTTTGCTCTGTTTATTGATCATGCTACTCGGTTTACCTGGGTGTATTTTCTGCGTTTAAAATCTGAACTCCGTGAAGTCGCTGTCGAGTTTTTAAACATATTCAAACACAGTTCAATCAAACGGTCAAAATCATTCGTTCTGATCCTGGCGGGGAATTTAGTTCTTTCCCTCTCCGTGAGGTCTATCGATCCCGTGGTATTTTGAGTCAGAAATCTTGTCCCGGAGTCTCTCAGCAAAATGGACTAGTTGAACGGAAAAATCGACATGTTGTTGAGTTAACCCGCGCGTTGTTACTTGTCTCTCATGTTCCTGGCCGTTTTTGGCCAGAGGCTGTGGCAACAGCTGTTCGGTTAATTAACTATCAAGTCACTATCGTCCTTAAGAATTCTAGTCCCTATTTTTGCCTCTACCATAGCCATCCTGACTATTCTCGCCTCCGTGTGTTTGGTTGTCTCTGTTTTGTACTTTTGCCTAAACGTGAACGTACAAAATTAACTTCTAAAACTGCCAAATGTGCTTTTCTGGGGTATAGTGATGTGCATAAGGGTTATTTGTGTTATGATTCCTCAGCTCAACGCATTCGCATTGCATGTTCGGTAGTCTTTTTTGAAAATCTTATGTATTTCCCTGAGTCCTCCGAGTCCAATTTTTCTTTTCCTGGATCGACTTCTTCGCTGCCCATGTTCTTCGATGATAATGATGATCCAGGTGATGCTCCCCATTCTCCTGATCCGCCTTCCCTGTATCAGTCCTCCCCGGCCCCTTCCTCTTCTCACGGCAGCACGTCATCACCAGTGTCATCCCCTCTTAATGCGCCATCTTCAAGTGCCACTTCAGGGAGTGCTTCTTCGCATCCTGCTCCCCGCCAATTTGACCGAATTACCAAGGGGGTTCCTCCTGTTCGATACCAAGACTATGTAGCTCATGGAGTCTCTAATTATCTTGTTCCAACAAGATACAAGCAAGCTCAAGGTGATCCTTTATGGGAGGCGGCCATGCAAACTGAGTTTGATGCTCTCCATGCTAATCAAACTTGGACTGTGGTTGATCGTCCTCCTCCATCTGTACCGGTTATTGGGAATCGTTGGGTCTATGCTCTCAAGATGTTTCCCGATGGATCTATTGAACGACATCGAGCTCGGGTTGTAGCTTTGGGGTATACACAGGAATATGGCATTGATTATGGCGAAACATTTGCTCCGGTTGCCAAGATGACGACTGTTCGGACACTAATCGCAGTTGCAGCACAGAAGAATTGGCCATTGTTTCAAATGGATGTCAAGAATGCTTTTCTTCACGGGGATTTAGAGGAGGTGATTTATATGGAACGCCTACCAGGTTACAATGTTGGTAAGCCCGGTCAGGTATGCTTACTACATCGATCTCTATATGGATTAAAGCAGGCTCCTCGTGCATGGTTTGCAAAATTCCAGTCTACCATTCGCAGTATGGGTTACTCTCAAAGTCTAAACGATCCTTCCTTATTTATTCGGTCTACACCTCACGGTCTGGTTCTTCTGTTGTTATATGTTGATGACATGATCATCTCTAGTACTGATTCTGCCGGTATTCAAAAGCCTAAAGATGGATTAAGCTCTGCTTTTCGTATCAAGGATCTAGGAGAACTTTCTTTCTTCTTGGGATTGGAAGTTTCTCGCAATTCTACAGGGATTTTACTCAGCCAACGGAAATATATTGGGGACCTTCTCGATGATCATAACTTCAGCGAGTGTCATCCGGTCTCTACCCCTATGGAATTGAATCTAAAGCTCAGTTCTCAGTCGGGTGCTCAGTTAGCAGATGGAAGGCAGTATCGCAGCATTGTTGGGAGCTTAATCTATCTGTCAGCTACTCGTTCTGACATATCTTATGCTGTACAGATTGTCAGTCAGTTCATGGCTAATCCGACTGTTGATCATCTCGCTGTTGTTCACAGAATTCTTCGGTATCTTAAAGGTACCCAAGATCTGGGGATTCATTTCCCAATCGGCGGCCCAGCCAAACTGAGCGCATACTCTGACTCCGATTATGCCGGCTGTATTGACACTCGTAGGTCCACTTCTGGATGGTGTGTTCGATTTGGCGAGGCATTTATTTCCTGGCGATGCAAGAAGCAAGACAAAGTGTCCAAATCTTCCACCGAGGCAGAATATCGGTCCATGTCTGAGGTAGTTTCAGAACTTGAATGGCTCCATCGTTTACTCAAAGATTTTAGTGTACACTCGGCACTTCCCATGGACTTATTTGTGGACAACATGAGTGTTGTTCGCATTGCTGTTAATCCAGTTCTTGATGATAGGACTAAGCACATTGAAGTCCATGTTCATTACGTCCGTGATCTGGTTCATGATGGTACTATTCAGTTGCACTATGTTCGCACCAGTGATCAGCTTGCCGATCTCCTCACGAAGGCCTTCCCTGCTCAACGTCATCGATTTCTCAGTGACAAATTGCTGCTTCTCGACCGGCATCAATTTGGGGGAGGCTGTTAAGAGAGCTGTATCTCTCTTTGTTATTAATGGGCTTTAAGAGTTGATTAGCCCATAATTGTCATGCAACCCATGCACGGTTAGAATGTTGATTGTAAGACCTAACCTAGGGCATATATATATTCGTTGTACAGCTAGAGGAGAGGCACTGATTTTCGGCTGCTCTCTTCTGAACATTTTCAGTCTAGTGAAACCTCTATTGAAGAGCCCTAGCTCTTCCGTGGATTAGTCCTGGAATTCCAGGGATACCACGTTAAATCGATCTGTTCATTTACTGCATTTGTGAGATTTGATTTGTTAATAGGTCCACCATCACTATTGATGCCTCTCGCCCTCTTCACCTCTTTGATAACACCATAAATACACATATTTATTCCCTCGTTTCTTGATCGTTTGAGATCGAGTTCTTGCATTTTAAGCCGATTTTAGACTAGGTTGTGACTATTTTTTTTATATTTCAGGTTTTAGAACTCGAAAGAAGATTTAGGATCAAGTTTCGGGACATTTGGAGAACGAATGGGACTTGGAGGATGAGAAACTGAATTCCACGATCTTGGAAGGTTGTTCCACGACCGTGGATCTTCAGTAACAACCGTGGAACAGAAACAAAAAGTTCCACGGCCTGACGAATGTCATTCCACAAACGTGAAATAAGAGATGTGACCGTGAAAGTCACCATGTGCAACTCAAGTCAAACAATGTATTTTGATGTTACACGGCCAGGAAATCCCATTCCACGGCCGTGGAACATGACCCGGGAAATGCAAGTTGCGGGTATAAATTGGATTTTTGGGCTTTTTTCAAGGGAAACAATTTCTTTGATCTGGAAACAGCTAAGGGACTTCCTGAGAGAAAGTGTCAAAATGTCCATCCTAGGAGCATATTTGAGCATCCATTTGACCATTAGAGTTTGGATTCATCTCGTTCGAATCTTATCCATTCCATTACGTAATGTATATAGCTCGAATTTTACCCTGTTTAACTGGACCGGATTCAAACGGTTAATCATGAAATTTTTGCCAACCCTACTCTTAGTCACATCATGAGGTGTGCTCTCTGGGAACCTCGTCGAATACTTCCTTGTGCTCTTCATGCCTAAACCCATTGAAGGTTACATTACTTTCGAAAGGTTCTTACAGGGAAGAAGGGAGGTACAATAAACAGTTGAAGGAATGTGGAAAGTTGGTCGTGGAAAACTAGTCAAATAGGGGTTGGCTGTAATTTTTTGTTTTTTGTTTTCCTGCAGACACAATTTTTAACTGCAATATACCGGAACACTAATGTTTGGGGATCCATTGGGAAAATGGACAAGAGTTTAAGAAGACAAGAAAGCATGGAGGATTTTGTTGAACTGGGGCGCGTCTTCAATCTGCGGCACATGCGATGCTTTCTTCATCACTTCCAACTTCACATTGTTCTTCTTCCCTATTAGCCTGCATGCATGCAAAAACCATCGAATCTTTCCTCAGTCAGTTGGCGGATCAAATTTTGCCACAACAAATCAACGCAACTCTTTTCAGATAATTAGACTAATATGATTACCCCTTGAGTTCATGAGCCATCTTCAAAGGGAAAATCTGGTCGTCTTCTCCCCATATTAACAATACCTCCTGAATTAATCCACATCAAGAAAAGGGGGGAATTAACATAGATAATATGATGAGTAATATATATTATGTCAATGCATAAATATATGCTGTTTGATGTGTTAAGTGGATTTCTCTGGTAGAAACCCTTCTCGCGAACTTTTCAGAATAATCGAATGATAAATGAAAAAAAATAGACTAAGAACTAGGAGAATTGGGATGTCCAATTTTTAATGACATTAAACTAGAAACTGAGTACATGTTTATAGGTATATAAACAGTGGCGGAGGGAGGTGGTGAGGAGTGGGGTCCTACTTGGTAAATAATTGGAGAACAAAAATCCTTTAAAATTATAGGGTTTAGTATGATTCTTCATGTTTACGACCCCATACTCTCGTTGATGTTAGTTCATCTAAGGACCCCAATCAATTCAAAGTTCATTAGATACACATGTTTTTGTATTAGTAAATTTTTAAGAACCCCCAATAAACTGAAAGCCTAGCTACGCCACTGTATATAAACCCCATAAATCTTTCTCCTTCCCTCCTTGGTTCTGATCCCACCAAATCTCCTCTGTTTCCCACTCAAAATATGAAACTTCCCTTACAAGAAAACTAGAGTAAATTTTCTAAACAAATACTCAAAAGCAATCCAAATTCTACCAAAATAATTATTAGTACAAAACATTCCAAATTAACGACAAAGCAGTAACTAATTATTTAAAACAGATGAGTCGTCTAGTTTCACGATGTTGTAATATTGGTAAAACATTAAAGCAAACGAATTCCATTGAACGAGTACCTGTTGCAGCGGTGAAAGAGTCAGCGTGTCATCCTGGCCCAGAGTTAACCCTTGCAAAAGCTCCAACTTCTCATTCCGCTTCTCCGCGTACAGTTTCTAATAATACATGTCAATATATCATTTCTATAAGTTTAATGCTGCTGGGTCGAGTGGAGCTGCAATGCCACCTACGACGTACGCTCAAAAGTGCAATTCTACGTAGAATTATTTTGGGTGACCATTGCTCTTCCAACAACCCGCAACCACCACCCCAACAACAAGGGAAAAATTTCACAACTACTACGCCAGCTAATTAATAAATAGAGGCGTCCTCTCCGGCTCCATAGAGACCACAATGCTCTTTAGACTACTCGAAATAAAGGAGGGGAATCAGCTCACCAGACAGACACCTCAGGCAACATGTCTTTCTTCATGCATCATACGCATAATTACATGCTAAAACCATGGTCCATCAAATCGTACTGGAGATCCTATCGGGAGAGTCAGCGTTAGGATATTTTAAGGTAAAACCGTGGTTTAATCGTAGTTCAACCGTTAAATACCGCCTACCGATTTAGTCTTCAAGACTGATATTTCGTGGTTGAACCGCCGGTACGGTACGGTTTAATGGACAATGGCTAAAACTCTATTCTCTATAAAAAGCTACATTCTCACCAAACACTATGATCAATTATTGATAAAATTGAATTGTGGGATATTCCGGCGTGGCCAGGGAATGACAAAGTTGCGAATTGGCAGCTTAACTGCTTACCTAAACCGACCAACTATTAGGTCCGGCCATGGAAATAAATCAACCCTTTAATTTAAAACACCGAAAGTATAGATAGGGAAGAAAACAGTCACACAGATCTGAACAACATTGTTCTGCAACTAGATACTAAGTTTTGGTTAATTCGCGGTCTAAATATTATTTTCTTACTCAATATATATTTTACCTCTTTGATTTTACAGTATAAACCACTTTTATATATATATATAAACCGGCCCAATGATAATTAAGAATAAAAAAAAAAGCTAAGAATAATACGGAATGAAGGAACGGACGAAAGGCACTTACGTTGATGAGGTCATTGAGTAGGAAATCGGGCGCCCTTCGGACGCTAGCGGAGGCAGCGACGCCGAGCAGGGCCCTCAGATGCGACGCCGTTTGTGGCAGCATGAGGTCACCGATGCTCTCCACCTTCGCCTTCCTGACGAGCTCGTCGTTGTCGGCCGGCCGCATGTTGATCCCGGAGCTGGCCACGACCACCTTCTCCACCCTGTCGGGGAACATCCTCGCCACGTGGTACGCCACGAACCCGCCGTAGCTGGTCCCCACGACGGAGTACTTTCCTCCCACCCGGAGCTTGTCCATCAGCGCCGCCACGGCCTCCGCCTGGAAGACCTCGGACCGGCGGGACGACGTCGTGTGGGAGTCACCGAAGAAGACGAGGTTTGGGACGTAGACGTTGTAGCGAGTGGCGAAGTGCTGGACCTGGCGGCGCCACTGCCAGATGGCGACGGGGCCGAAGCCGTGGAGGAGGAGGAGGGAAGGGTTTTGTGGGTTGGGTTTTGTGGGGGACCAGAACTGGACGGTGGTTGTTGGGTCGGTGGCGGTGGTTTTCTCGGAGAGGCCGGCGGCGGAGAAGCAGCGGCGGAGGTAGAAGGTGTAGAGGGAGGCGAGGCTGAGGTAGGAGGAGAGTGATGGAGCCATGGAGGAGGAGGAGGAGTGAGAGGTAATTAGGGCTGTTTGCGTCTTATTTGGGGATGGTGGTTTCTGTTAAGGAGATTGAGTTATTTGTGTGTTTGATTCGGTTTATCAGTTTATGTATGGAATGAAGTGATTTTTATTTTTAGGGGGAATCTGTATGGGTTGGTTTACCTATAATGGAAAATAATTTGCGGGGGGTGAAAGAAAGAATTTATGGCCGGATTCTCTAATTGGGTGACGGTGGATTCTTTTCTTACACACACGGATACAGAGTGATCTGATATATATATATATGTGCCATTTATTGCAGGTATTCCCGTAGTAAAAAAAAGTTTCACACTTTGAGAGTTTTAATATAATTTATGTATTTGTTCAATTTCAAATTATAATATATTCAAATACTCCATTAAACTTACTCTCTCCTCCTCTCTACGTGCTCACTTGAAATTCGGGATGTCAACAAAACCCGAACCCACGGGTACCCACCAAACCCAACCCGGTCAACGCAGGTAAAATCGGTGTTGACGGGTTTTGGGCCGGGTTCGGGTTTAAACCCGCTACACTATTCATTGGGTCGGGTTGGGTTTGGGTTTAGGTAAACCCGCCCCATGGGTACCCGCCCACACACATATAATTACTTTCCTTGTATATTTAATATTCTAAATAATATATTTTTCTTAAATAACTAATATTCTATATGTTTATGGAGACATGTATAATTTGTTCTTTCTAATTGTTTAGAATGAAGTTGATATTATGAAGTGGAGAGTGAAGAAACTTAATTGACGAGGAAGAAGCTTTCAATTAATCTTATTGTTTATATATGTTTATCTTTAATTTTGAACAATTTGTATTGATCATTTGTGGTTTGCATATATGCTCTAGATTGGAGTTAAACTTTTATTTTGAAAGAAACTTGTTATTGTAAATTTTTACCACAAAAACCCACGGGTACCCATGAACCCGCGGATGTTGGGTTGGGTTTGAGTTTTTCAAACCCAACGGGTTTTACCCCGGGTTTTTTTGGCGGATAAACTCATGGGTTTGGGTTTGACAAAACCCGCCCCAACCCGCCCCATTGCCATCCCTACTTGAAATTGGGGCTAAATAAGGTGACTAAGGGGGCTCCTTTAGTCATGTGGCTAAGTGAATCTCAGTCCTTCCAACTCGTTAAAATCCAATGGTCCTGATTAATCCAATTTAATGAAGGGTAATGTAGTAATTTGATTATTTAATTTTTATTTATCAATTAGAATAAATAAAAATACTGCCCGGCGCTAACTACCGCCGTGGTAGCTGGCATGCGCTTCCTTCTCCGGTGACCTGGGCATTTTTTCCAGAGAGGTTCGACCCATTCCCGCCTGCCGATGCCGACATCGTGACCATTTTTCCCAGGGGGATGGTGGCAATTTTTTCTTAGGGAATTCTGAGAGAGAGAGAGAGAGAGAGAGAGAGAGAGAGAGAGAGAGAGAGAGAGAGAGAGAGAGAGAGAGAGAGAGAGAGAGAGAGAGAGAGAGAGAGAGAGAGAGAGAGAGAGAGAGAGAGAGAGAGAGAGAGAGAGAGAGAGAGAGAGAGATAGTTTTCTTGTCAACTTTCCGGCGACGGCAGAGCAGTTTTCCTGCGACCAGAGACGGTGGTGGATGATTTTTCAGCAACAATGCTGAATTCGTGATGATTGTCAACCTATATTGTAGTGTTTATAAGTTCAGTTTGTATTGTTTATACCAATTCGGTTTGTATCGTTTATCATTCTACTTTGTTAATTTAGTCTTTTGTGTTTGTAATGTTTACATGACTAATTTGTATATATTTTAATTTATAATATTTGTTGTTCTAGTTTGTATACTTTTATGTTATGATTTGTATACTTTGTATTCATTGATTTGTAATAAAATTTTACCGATTTGTATTTGTAAGTATTGTTATTTTGTAATGTTAGTATGCTTGTAATGTTTGTCGGTTTCTTCTGTAATGTTTATTACTTTTGTAATGTTTTTCGGTTTCTTTTGTAATGTTTGTAAGCTTTGTTATTTTTGTGCACCATGTTTGTCATTTTTACAAAACATACAAACCATACAAATCACACTGACATTATGTACAAAAATACTAACGATACAAACCGGCAACACTTGCATTAAAAATCACTGTTCTTCCTTCTCTCTCCATCGTTGTGGTCATCGTCGACTCTCTCTCCACCGATGCTGCCGCCGACTCTCTCTATTGCCGTCACCACCTCTCTCTCTCTCTCTCTCTCTCTCTCTCTCTCTCTCCATCGTCGCGCCGCCTCTCTCTCCTCCGCCATTGTCGACGCTCTCTCTCCGCCACGATCTCTCTCTACTCCACCATCGTCTCTCTCTCTCCTCTGTTTATCGACGACGACGGCAATTGTTGCCTCTCTCTCTCTCTATCTTTCAGTCGATGTCGCCGCCTCTCTCTCATTCATCGTTGTTGCTGTTGCCGTTCTCCGACATACCCGCCTATGGATGTTTCTCTCTCCTCCACCACCATCGCCGTTGACACCGCACATCTCTCCTCCATCTCTCTCTATGGGCGGGAAAAGAGGAGACGGTTGGAGAGGAAGGAAAAAAAAAGAAATAAATAAAACAAAACTGAAATTATGAATTAATGAATTTCTGATAATGCCAAAACTACCCTTTTCATTTAATAGTAATTCAACACTTTATGTGGACCATTAGATCAATCTAAAGGCTGAGGGGGGCTTAATCAAGTGACTAAGGATCCCCCCTTAGTCACCAGATCCGGACTCCTTGAAATTGTTGGCGAAGACAGACATGCGAGGATCCCACGCCGTCTGCTGCCCATCCTCTCCTCTCTGTGTGCTCATCTCAAATCGTCGACGAAGACGTGTTGGTGAAGACGAAGATGATGCTTCGGGAGCCCGCCATCCGTAGATAAGTGGTGGAAAGAGTGAGTCGAATAGATGTCAACAAACATTCACGGTAGTAGACAAATAGTTGGACCACCGATAAGAAGGCATTTTGTGTCACAAGATTGACAGTCCTATTAAATCTATGAGGAGCAAACAAAATGAAAAGTAATTGTAGGATGTCATTGAGGAAAATCTCTAACTTATTTCTATCTTAGAAATGAGGTTAATTGCATTATTCGTTGTTGATTTTACTTGTTTTCTTTGCGGTGTTTACTAAAACTATATTTTAGTATAATCTACATGAGTCATTATATCTTTATTCACTTTTATTTATTCGTCGTAGGGTAGAGTCAATTTTAACTTGATATGTAGCGAAGACTACTAAGATCCCTTTTTAGAAGGGTCTTTCTCCTCACACTATTTCAAATAATAATTTGTGTTCTCAGAAAACCGATTGGGTTGAAGTGCTCCGAAATGCTTTTGAGACAAAGACAAAGACAAACTAAAATGCACGAAATCAAACAAGTAACAAATACAAAAATTATAAAACCTAGGCTAATACTAAACGCGAGTAAAAGCAAGAAATAAAAGCCGTTGTTCAAGTATTATTTCTCTGCCTTTTGTCCATCTTTACTCCATTTTTGCCCATTTACGTTCTACTTTCCATCCCATAGCTAATTCGACCTGCTGATATCTCAAACATGTTAAAACAAGCACAAACCTGCCTTAAAATTGCTCCTCGGACGATGCGAATGCCACAAACATCATAAGATAAATGGGTACAAATATGTGCAATTACACACGAATAAGATCTTCAGTTTCCTTTTTTTTATGCTGCTGCTTCTACTAATAAAGCGGGATTAAATGGGAGAAAGGTACGTTGGGAGGTTAATTTTGGGATGAATAATTAGGAGAATTAAGGGGAAGGTTAAGGTTAATTGGTAGAGAGAGAAAAACGGGTCAAGATATGGTGCATAACCTTAGGGTGTATGACTATGAGTAACCAAATCTAGATCCTTCTTTTAAGTGGCTGCAGATCTAAGGGCTGTAAATTAAAAACATTTTATTTCCACTATTTTTCTTAATCAGATCGTACCTTCTTCATTCTAACTAGGATTTCATTTTTTTTTTTTGCACTAATGGAACGAGTTCGTTGTGATCTACAAAATGAGATTCATTTTCAATATTTTTTGAGAAAATTATTTTTCATACCTCTCGTTACCAACTCCATACCATATGGTATCTCCTTCGTTTTAGTCGTTTTCGGAAATTTTTGCACAAAAGGAACAATTTAATCATGATCTATTGGATTTCAAAAGTTTATGGCTAGAAAAAATTCATACCTCTCGTTACCAACTCCATACCATACTATACCACCCTGGTATGGGGTGGTATTTTTCATACCATATGATATGTTTTATTTAATATCAGTCAATACCCTATGGTATAGACTGATAATAACTGGCTCAATTTTTTTTTTGTTCCAAAATATATCAAAGTGGATATAATTTTGAAGAGCATAATTAATCTAATCTAACTGTGCAAAAAAACTTAAATTCTGACTTAAAACGAGTGAGAAATCGTATGTTAACGATTAAGGAGGGAAAATTAAGGACTTTTTCAGGAGAGAGAAGAGGTGCTGATGTGGCGGATTCTTATTAGGTTATGCATGAGTTTATTCACCTGATCCGCTCCCGAGAGAAACCGAGGGAGGGGAAAGGGTACAGTTGTTTCTCCTTTTTATCTTTTTTATTTATTTTAATTTAATAATCCTGAATTGGGATTAGTCAAAATAAATTAATTAAAACATAATCACTCCAATTAGCAATGTACAATACATTATCCATACCGAACAACCCAATTACTGATCAACCTAACACAAATTTGGGATGTTACGTTTCCTATAAAAAAATTTGTCCCCGAAATTGGAACTGTAGGACAGGGACTGAGAACAACCAATTGTACCGAGACATACTACATTTGATTGAAACTTTATTGACTAGATATCACTTTTTCGCTAGCCCTTAAGAAAAATTTCGAACTCGAAATTAAAGCCATAAGAACAACGTAAGGGTCTCTGAGTATTCACTATTACTATTGCCAACATCATAATGCTACTAACCGACCAATAGTCAAAAGCAAATAGTTATTTCTCATAGTCTTCCATCCACCCCACATAATCACTTCAATATGTTCGTTCATCCCCTCCCTCGTCTCCACAACCACCCTTTTTCCTTTCCATGGTAAGGATTCTAAGTTTCCCACCAACTCTCCTCGTTTGACCTTGGTCGCGACTAGTATGGTTGGTGTTGTCGCCATTGAAACACCCTCCATTGTTGTTGTAGGATCAGTTTGGATGGTGATAACACTGAATTTCATAGTTAGTAAAATACGGTACGGGAAAGTTACGTATAAAATACGTACGGGTATTTTACTTCGTTTCTATGCTAATGTTACGTTTAATAGTACGTTAATTGTCATAAATATATAAAATTAATTATTTTAAAAATAAATAAATAATAGTAAAGTTCGTAATTTGATTCATTAAATACGAATATTAAACGTGTTATACGGGTTTTAAACGTGTTTAATACGGGAGCCATCAAATGAACGGTCAAAAAGGAAACGGCTTGACAATAATACGGATACAGAAGTTTTAAACGAATAAAATACGTACGGGTACATATACGTGTATTAAACGGAGTATTTACTAACTATGCTGAATTTGCACATGTTTTCACCCCTCATTCTTAACTGTTTAGTTTGATGTGTATCATACTTTGGCCTATTTTATGCTAGGTTGTGTTCCTTTGTCAAATTTCAGGTCCTAGCATTTTAAGGGAAGCATAAGCGCAAATTTCATGTCAATCGGAGATCAATTGGCGACTCGAGGGAAGAAGCTCGGGCATAACCCAAGGAAGAATGTATTTCTACCTCATCTATACATAATCTTATGGCAATTCAAAAGTAATTGTTTGCCACCTAAGCACTTGGAGAGTTCACAAATTGCCAAGGTGGACAATATTTTTACAAAAAGAAAAATAGTTATTGATATATTTATGGAGTTATCTCTCTCTTCAATTAATATTTCATTTCCCTTTTATCTTTTTTTTTTGTATTATATCAATGTACACAATAATAATAATGTATGAAAAGTGACATATATTACCTTTGTTATCTCTAACTTTTTTAATATTTATTTTTCTTTTCCAATACTTCCTTTATGTTTTTGTTTCTACTTTTGCATTGTATCGATGTACACAACAATAGACTAATATCTTTGAGTCACACATATAACTTTTTTCTCAACCAAAAAAATATCTTATTAAAGCTCATTAAGTAAATTTTTAACTCACTTTTACAATAATTAAAAAATATGTTATATTTTGATGAACAATTTATACAAACACACATACATAATAACATTTTATCGCGACAAAATAACGATGGAAATTAAAGAGAGAAAACAAAAAAGGTTTGAATAGAAACTTGACCAAGCAATAAAATCTATTTCTTAAACAAAAACCTTATTCATTCTAATTAAGTGAAAACATATGAATCATAGGTGCAATAATTTACAATGTATCCTAAGTTCAAATTACTAATATTTTGCATTTTTGCTCTAGATTGTGTTAATTGAGCAAACTCTACTGAAGTTTTACGTCATATGTTAATAAATTTAATTTTCAGGCTTGAAGTAATAAATTTTCAAGGATTATAAATCAAAATTTTTAAAATGACTTCGGTATGATTGTTGATGAACTTGACTTCATATCTTAAGATGAGACATGAGATACGTTAAAAATGATACATGTGAAAGTTAGATGAATCTTTGCTAAACTGTATGTTAAACATCATGTGTTCATCAACCACTGACCTATGCATTAATCAAATAAAGGTTTAAAATCTATCTATCTATGGCAATTCAACAATAGTTTGTTGCCACATAAGCACTTGAAGAATTTACAAATTATCATGGTTGACACTTTTTTTACAAACACAAAAGTAAGTTAATGCTCAATTTATGTAGCTATCTCTATCTTCATTTAATGTTTTCTTTTGTTTTTATTTAATAATTCATTTGTACCTTTTGTAGTATATATGTGTAGCAACAGTATACTAATGTTAGGCTGACATGTATCGCGATTGTTTAAACAAAAATATTTGAATAAATCTTATTAAGTAAATTTTCAGTTTACGTCATATGCTAAGTAGGTGTTAGGCCATTACCTTTTGATTTGTCGTTAGGAGAAGAAATTTTGAGTGAAGGAAAGCAAACCAAATAACGGGTGTTAAATGCAATAGAGAGTGGAAATACCCGGGTAGACGAAACTAACAATGTCTACAATTTGGTGGCGCCTGTGAGAAATGGTGCAGGATGCCTGTGAGAAATGGTGCAGGAGGACAATTTAAAATTCAGCTGGCGATGTTACTATATGGGCCGTGAATTGGTGGGCAAAGGTGAGAATTGGACAGAGCAGATCTAGTATAGATCTTCAGTAGTGGCCGTGACAAAATGTGGGAGGAGACAACTTAGCAATTGATACATATTGAGTAAATAACATTTAAATAGCTAAACCTTTCAGTTTTTTTAAATTATTAGCCAAACCTTTCAAACTATAAATGATTAGCCAAATATTTTGTATCACATCAAAATATTAACCATTTGTTCGTTATCATTAATAATTTTGTAACTCTTTTTTAATTAAAATACTAAATTGGATTATAGGCCGTCACGTGTCTCTTCCAACTCATCATCATGTTGTTGAGTAAACATTGTATTTTGAATTCACATAAAAATGCTAACGGGGAGTTAACGTTTTGGCTAATACTTTGTATTTTGAATTTTTTTTGAAATATTTGATTAATAAAATGTATTTACTCTGTTATATAATATACTAAATTTGGGTCTCTTGATAGACATATGTTAACATAAGATCGTTAGGAGACTTCATGAAAATTCACATGAAAATGAGGCAAGATTAGAGAAGTTGATCATCGTAAGAGATATGATCTTTCTTAGCAAACACATGCATTTTTTTACAATAAAACACATGCATAACTAATAATATATTTACGGAATAAAATAATTTGATAAAAATTCAATGGAGCAAGAATAGATCACCTCATTGGATAAATGAAGATGATAAGTAAGAATAACTTTTCTCTCACTTATAATGTGTCCTTCCATCCCTTATTTTCTTTTACAATTGTTCATATTTCCCTTTATTTTCTTAACATTTTACAAATCCCAGTAAAAAATAAGTATTAATTACACTTAAAAATAATTAAACTCTTTTTAATATATATGCTTATATATTGACAATAAATGTGGCAATACAGAAAAATGCAAATATTTGTATAATTAATGAAATTTTTATTTCTAAACTAATACCAAACATAAATAAAATTTAGAAAACGAAGGTTCTACAAGTTGTAAAATTATACACTAACGCACCATATTAATATCAAAATCCGTATGTGAGTATCTTGGATTGAGATTCTAAAATAATGTATAAACAACGACAATGAGTCTCAGTTAGTCCAAATTAAATTTAAAAAATTAGCAATTGATACATATTGTATAAGAGACTAAATACAAATAAGATCTTACAGTAAACTTCATGAACATCCAAAGTGTCAACTTTTAATTGGGATGTAGAAATTTATCCAATAATGAAGTATATGTACAAAGAAACTCTAACTAAGATGTCCTCATCTGAACAACATGGATTCATATAAGATAGAAAAAATTGTACATGGGACGTGGTATACCTTTGTGACATGGTTTATGATTAGAGAATTCAAACATTATAAGTGAATGTACTAAGTATTGAGAATTTTCAATATATAGACACACCACATACTCACTTATTAATACAAAATATAATAAATTTAGAAGGTCTAAAATAGTTTAAACATATAGATAAATTGAATTAATGTCAACGATAAAATGAAACTCTCCGGCCAACAGGCCGGGTAAAAAGCTAGTTTTAAGGATAAATAATCATGGGGTTAATGCCACATTTGGTCATTGTGATTACTAAATTGTGTCATGTTTAGTCACTAGAAAAATTTAATATCAAATTTGGTCACTTTAATAACTAAAATAGGTCATATTTAGTCACTCTTCGTTGGTCTCCGTCCAACTCCGTTAATGAAGTCCGTTATGTGCTGACTTGGCTAACGGGAGCGCCTAGTTAGTACCATTTTGGCCCGAAAATGGTCAAACCCAACCCGCCACGTCACTAAACCTGCCATGTCATACACCCAACCGAAACCATTAATCCAACCCGACAGCAGCAACCCCGACCCAACTAAGTCCTCCGCCAGGGAACCGGTTCCTCGCGCTCCAGGTCTGTCGCCCATCAGGTTGAAGTCGCCTGCAAGGCCTCCTCAATGTCGGCGTCGCCGTGATGGATAGCTCGATGTGAAGTATGCCGCTCTATTGCGGATCCTCTGTCACCGGGTATTAGGATATGATGGGCGAGAAGATCAACAATAAGAAAGGGGATGAAAGCAACAGTGATGGGGGAAGCAGCAACATGTACTCTGCAATCTCTAACAAGAAGCAATTCTTCCTCCCTTGGATTCCTACGCCCGAATTGAGGCGGACCAAGAGAGATTCCAGTTCTATGCTAGATCTACCGCCAACGGGGAAGGGGAACAAGACGGGGACGATGAAATTGGCGGCGGAGGAGGTTCCATGGTGAATGGGAGATCTATGCTAGATCTACCGCCAACGGGGAAGGGGAACAAGACGGGGACGATGAAATTGGCGGCGGAGGAGGTTCCATGGTGAACGGGAGATCCAGAGCCAGATAGATGTTGAGTGGGGTTAATGGTTTGGGTTGGGTGTATGACATGGAGTTTTTAGTGATATGGCGGGTCGGGTTTGACCATTTTCAGGCCAAAACAACGCTGATTAGGTGCTCTCGTTAGCCACGTCAGCACATAACGGACTCCATTAACGAAATTGGACGGAGACTAACGGAGAGTGACTATATGACTTGTTTTAGTAATTAGAGTGACCAAATTTGATATTTTCTAGTAACTAAACATTGTAGACACCTGACTCACTCCTACTGTCACCCTAGAAAATGGCCAAGTGCAACCACTTCCTAAAGCGTAGTATAGCGGGTTTGGGTTTTAATGTCAACCCGGGTCCTAAATTTGATGACTACTTGGTGTATTCTTGTTATCTAGCAATGAAACTTTAATACAAGTCTAAACTAACAAACAAGCAAAGCAACTAAACGGTTGTTTTCAGGTTAAGAGAGGTCACCCGGATATGGTTCCCCCTAGACTACAGTTAAGTCGGATTGCAATTACCAAGTTCAGTTTCTATGATAGTTATACTGCAGAAGGTTCTTAAGCAGTCTGAAGTCTCGACTAAAGGTCTTCAGACCCTCTCAATCTGAGTCTCTAGCGGGCGACTAACCTCCACCGGAGTAAACAGATTGAGGCCCTACGAACAAAACCTCCACTACCGAAGTGAACTCGGTACAGAATAGTGAGTTGGCTCCTCGACTAAAGTCACCAACTCCCTACCTTCAATCAAGGATGCTCTATCAACCTAGGTAGATATTCTCATTCTAGGTTAAAGCAGAAACAACAGGAATTTGATCAGGATTCAAGTCATTCAATCATTCAAACCTCAATCGAATATAATCAAATCATAGAATCAATACTTGGGTTCATACAATCAAACCTAACATACAAATCTAGGGTTCTCCATACCCAGATGAATGGGAAAACTACTCCATGGAGAAATAAGCAAAAGCAGAATCAGACGCGGAATTCATACTGTGAAGGATGGATTCCTGCTCCTGGACGTTGATCGGCACTTCTCCAAGCTCAAGCCAAGCTCCAATGGTGATGAAGATCAAGCTAGGGTGAATGACATGACATAAACGCACAACCTAGGGTGAAATCGGCTTAAAACACGAGAGTCAACCTCTCAAACGGCTCAAGAATAGGGGTGAAAACATGTGTAATTATCGGTCTATCAAACTCCCCCACACTTAACCGTTTGCTTGTCCCCAAGAAAACCTAACTCAAACCAATGCAACTCTCCAGACCTCTATAGCAACCAACAACCCCGATCATAGGTAGAGGATTTCCTAGATCATTTAGCAGCTTACGAGGTCAACCGACGCACAAGTCATCTCATAGCTTCTTCGGCGAGAACGCTAGTCTCGAGTCGGCATCATGGCAAATAGTGAGCAGAGGACAAATGAATCATGGACGAATGGACTCTCAAGAACAAAAGATCATGGACTCACCTTTTTAAGGTGCTCTATTTCCTTCTTGAAGATGGTTGGAACCCCTTTTCTTTCAGTTTTGCTTGTTTTCTGTTTTTTTTTTCTTTTTTTGTTTTTTTTCCAAGGGTCCCAACATGCTTTTCAGAAAATGGGGGCTCCCACCTAGCAGAGGTTTTGCGGGAGCCCGACTCTTACCGCCCATGCCAGGAGCGGATGTCTCGAGCCTCGTGCGGGGGAAAGACATGTAAGGGGGCTGGAGGTAGTAGGTGGAAATTGGGAACGGATTCCCGTCTCCCCTTACACACTTTCGCCCTATTCGCACGGGAGACGTTATTTTACATCATATTTTCGAGCACCTTTTATTTCAAAAACATGATACAGGAGTCCATGACAGGTAAAGAGTCCACATCACCACACAATTCAAGAGTCCTAAGATCACTAATTCGCACAATCAACCAACACAATATGAAGAAGAAATGAGACTTCTTAAATGCATCAACATCCTCCATAGTGCTACACTACCTCCCTAGGTTGCATATTACTATAAAGACTGTCAATTGAAAGCATACTGAGCAGGCAATTGCAAGGAACACGTACTTGGAGCCCTCAAATTTAAAAATTTGGACAGTGGACTAGGCTCCAAGCACACAAATAGATTTAACGCAGTCAAAAGATAAACATCCCCCCACACTTAAGATCGACATTGCCCTCAATGGAGAAGAGGGAAGGGAAAAGGGGAACGATGTTACCGGTATGCACGGACTGCAGGAGACTGGAAGCGGACCAGTCGGAGTGAAGCAGACTGGAGAGAGGACCAGTCAAGACAAGCACAGCTAAAGGAAACCAAAGAGCTCAAACACAATACGTCAGGTCGAATGGGCAGCCCAATAGTACAGCATCCAAAATAAAAAGAAAGAAACTCAACCAGCACAAGACAGTTTGCACACTGACAAAAACAAACACACTCAAAACATGTCACTAGGCGCCGCCTCCTAGACCGGTGAAGTCGATCTGGTTCATGAGGTCGTCGTCTCCATCATCCGGCGGTGGTGGTGGTGAATGATCCCACCGGGTGGTCCAGTGGTGCTCCTCTGGGGGGTGGCAAGCCTGGAGCAGGTGCTCCGAGTACTCCATCAATCGGCAGCCTCGATCTCTCTCCCGCTCGATGAGAGCACCCGTGACTCCCATATGGGTCTCTAAGCGGCCGAGGCGATCGTCAATAACCGTCAGCCTGGACTGGTACTCGGCCTGGTGGGCCGAATACTGCTGGTAGAACTGGACCTGATGGTCCATGAGCTGCTGGTTCTGAAGACCGAGCTGCTGGAACTGGAGCCCCATCTGCTGGAACTGCTCCGTGAAGAAGTCCATCGGCGGGCCAGAAGCCGCCGACGGACCAGAGGAGGACTCACCTCGCGCCGGTCTCCGTCGTGGCCGAAGGTCCCCTGGTGGAGAGAGCGGGGGCTCCGGCTCATCGGCATCCATGGCCCCGCCATCATCATCATCATCATCATCATCATCATCATCCTCGCCAGAATAGTCAGCGTCCTCCTCATCGTCATCAAGATCCACATCCTCATCAGGAGGCAGAGAAAACCCATCCACCCAGGTGCGGGTGCCATCACTGGCCAGGAGGAGTGCATTATGGAGCACTTCCCGGCTGAGGGGGGTGGAGCCTCCCTGTGCAGAAGAATCTGTGAGCCCCTGGAAGCTGATGTTGAAATGGCGCGCTAGACGGGTGATCAGGGGACCACAGTAGAGATGGTTGGGCTTCCCGTGGCATCGAGAGAAGGTGGTGGCCACGAAGGAACCCAAATGCAGCATGTGATCCGGGTCCCTCATCGAGAACATGGCATAGAGCACCCGCTTCGGAATCTTGTGCGAGCCGGTGACGTTGGGGACGATGGAGCGGGTGATGGGCAAGTTCAGGATGTGCCACTGCGGCTTGAGGGTGCGGACGTACGTCTGGCTAGCGTCGAAGTAGTCGAACTCATAGTCGAACCGGGCAATCTGCGAGTAGAAAAAATCCATGTTCCAGTCTGTTGGATTCGGGACCTCGATCACGTGGCGGGAAGATGGGTGATACTGGATCCCCAAGGCGGAGGCCAACCCGTCAATGGTCAGCTCCCGGGGATAGCCACCTAGCCTGAATCTCACTGCAGAGGAGTCCCGAGCCGCTTTGCTGTTGTACTGGAAGGTGGTGTAGAATTCCCACACCAGCTCAGTGTAGGTGGGCTCGTCGATAGCCAGCAGCGTCCGCCAATCGCGGTGGCTGATTGCGGCGGTGAGCTCCTGCATGCAGTGGAGCTGCTCGAACACTGTCCACTCCAGATGGTGGTGGCGCTCCAACTTCCCTCGAGTCACCGTGCGGAACTGGTCCGCGTACTTTGGGTGCAGGCTCAGGCCCTGCACAAACTGATGGTCGAGGGACATGTTCCTGCAAAATCAACAAACCAAAGGTGGAACCAAGAAAAGACTTGTCAGGACCAACAACATGGATTCATCACTTCCCCCACACTTAAGGAGCACCAAGGCTAACAGTTGTAAGCACAGACGGTTGAATCACAAACAACCCAACCGGAATCAAGGCAAGAAACACGGAACCAACCACATTAATTACACGGGCAGCACACACACCATAGATAGAACCATGCACTCAAAGCATCCCTCACCCTATTCTAACTCATGCAAGCAATTAAAGTTCTCGGTCCTACAATCTACAGTTCGATTTTCCAGGTAAGAACAGTTAATAAGAAACACACCTGGAAACGCAAGGAGAATTGTAGCTAAGGCACAAAAAACGGGTGAGGGACGCGAGACATAGGCCAAAAATGACCCGGGAGGGTCGCCGGAAAGTGGCCGGGAAAGTGGCCGGAAAGTGGCCGGAAAACGACCGGGTGGCGGCGGCCGGCGGCTCTCAGAAGAGAGAGGGGAGAGGATTTGAGAAGAAGGAAGAGGGGAAAATTTTGAAAAATGAGGGTAGAGAGAGAAACTGACCGGGGGTTTGCTATAAATAGCAAAAATCCCCGGTCGGGGGTCAAAAATACCCGGTCGGGTATTTTTGATTCCACGACTGGGGGTTCCTAAACGCGGCGTGGCAAGGTAAGGGAATCCTCGACCTTGAGCCAAAAATACCCGGCCGGGTATTTTTGGGTCAAGGTCGGGGATTCTTGAAACGCAGCGTCTGAACTTGGGAAAATCCCCAGCCGTGAACCAAAAATACCCGGTCGGGTATTTTTGGGACCAGGTCGGGGGTTTTCCATTTTTCACCCCGAGAAACAGAAGGGGGCCCGACCGTGAACCAAAAATACCCGGTCGGGTATTTTGCCCACGACCGGGTATTTGCCCCCTTCCGGCCAAAAAACTCATTCGCCCAAATTTTCGACCTCTCCTGCACTACAGCACCAAATCGAGGCATAACAGACGACCGAACTTCACCACAGACATGCAACTGACTCAAGACGACACAAAAACTCAGAAAAAAGGGAAAAAGAAATGCAAACCGTGGTGGGGTTGCCTCCCCACAAGCGCTTCTTTACCGTCTTTTAGCTGGACGCCAATTACGGAACTAAGGGTCCGCGAGCTCCACTGCCAACTCCGCACGTTCGACCTCGCCTCCCAGGTAGAGCTTGAGACGATGGCCATTTACTTTAAACGGCTCAGTTTGCGGGTTGGCAATTTCAATCGTGCCATACGGGAACACCTGGGTGACCGTGAACAGTCCAGACCACCGGGAACGGAGTTTTCCGGGAAAGAGCTTCAGGCGAGAGTTATAGAGGAGAACTCGATCACCAACCTGAAACTCCTTCGGACCCCGCAACCGTGCATCGTGCAGGCGCTTAGTGCGCTCCTTGTACAACTTTGTGTTCTCATAGGCGTGGTAACGCCACTCTTCCAGCTCCAACATCTGCATTTTGCGCTTAACACCTGCAACACTAACATCCAAATTTAGCAGCTTAAGGGCCCAGAAGACCTTGTGCTCTAGCTCCATAGGCAGATGGCATGCCTTTCCAAAGACCAGCCGGTACGGTGAAGTACCAATGGGCGTCTTGTAGGCAGTGCGGTATGCCCACAGAGCATCATCGAGCTTGGTGGACCAATCCTTGCGGGACTGATCCATCGTCTTCTCCAGGATCCGCTTGAGCTCCCGGTTCGTCAGCTCGGCCTGGCCACTGGTCTGAGGGTGATAGGCCACGGACACCTTGTGAGTTACACCATAGCGAGACAGTAACTTATCAAACTGGCCCTGAAAATGGGTGCCTCGATCGCTTATGATGGCTCTAGGTGTCCTGAACCGGGAGAATAGTTGCTTCAAAAAAACACAAACATGTCTAGCATCATTAGTGGGCAAAGCTTGCGCCTCAGCCCACCTAGAGACGTAGTCAGCAGCAATAAGGATATAGGTATTACCAAAAGATGGAGGGAAGGGGCCCATGAAGTCGATACCCCAGACATCAAAAATCTCACAAGTTATAAACACATTCTGGGGCATCTCATCACGGCAGAGATGTTACCTGACCTCTGGCATCGGTCGCACCTGCGTGCGAAGGCGTCTGCGTCCTTGAAGAGCGTGGGCCAGTAAAAGCCCGATTGGAGCACCTTCCTCGCCGTGCGGTTTCCTCCGTGGTGACCGCCAGTAGGTCCTTCATGACAGTGAGATAGAATGCCCTCCATCTCACTCTCCATAACACAGCGACGGATGATCCCGTCGGCTCCGATCCTGAAGAGATGAGGGTCATCCCAGAAGTAGTGCTTCAGGTCGGAGAAGAACTTTCTCTTGGTGTGAGTTGTCATCCCCTTGGGCAGCTGCTGGCCCACAAGATAGTTCGCAAAATCAGAATACCAGGGGGTGACACTCTCCACCAGGCACATCATCATCAGTCTCTCATCTGGGAAGGAGTCGTTGATCTCCTCCTCGAGGTTGTCCGCAGGGGGTGTGTCCAACCGGGAGAGGTGATCGACTGCAACATTCTCTGCTCCCTTCTTGTCCCGATTCTCAATGTCAAACTCCTGCAGCAGTAAG